TTTAAAAGGTGCAATACAAAAGTTAAAAAGCAATTAAATAGTAACAGTGTGGTAAAACAAAATTAAAATACGGTAAATACACTAAAATATTATTATTATTATTATTATTATTATTATTATTATTATTATTATTATTATTATTATTATTTTGGAGCCCCTGGTGGCGCAATGGGTTAAACTCTTGTGTCAGCAGGACTGAAAATAGACAGCTCACAGGTTCAAATCCGGGGAGAGCGCGGATGAGCTCCCTCTGTCAGCTTCGGCTCTCCATGTGGGAACATGAAAGAAGCCTCCCACAAGGATGGTAAAACATAAAAACATCCTGGCATCCCATGGGTACGTCCTTGCAGATGGCCACCAGAAGCGACTTGCAGTTTCTCGAGTCGCTCCTAACATGAAAAAAATTATTATTGTTGTTGTTGTTGTTGTTATTTGAAACACCACAAGATGAGTCTACAGCAGACACTCTGCTGGCTGTTGTATTGGATCACACGTCGGGCACTTCCCAAGTGTCTAGGACTGTGTGATGTATCGGTGAATAATGCGTGCAGATCCCAGTAAGGTGGCCTTTTGCAGCTGGCAGATGGTAATCTTGTAAGCGCCGATTGTGTTTAAGTGCAGGCCAAGGTCTTTAGGCACTGCACCCAGTGTGCCAGTCACCACTGGGACCACCTTTACTGGTTTGTGCCACAGTCTTTGCAGTTCAATCTTTAAATCCTCATATCGTGTCATCTTTTCCAGTTTTCTCTTCAATCCTGCTGTCACCTGAGATTGCAATATCGACAATCCATACTTTATTTTTTAACATGATCATGAGGTCAGGAGTATTGTGCTCCAAAACTCTGTCTGTCTGAATCCTGAAGTCCCAGAGTAGCTTGACGTGTTCATTCTCTGTAACTTTTTTCCAGCTTGTGATCCCACCAGTTCTTTGTCACAGGCAGTTGGTATTTGTGGCACAAGTTCCAATGAATCATCTGAGCAACGGTGTTATGCCTCTGCTTGCAGTCTGTCTGGGCGATCTCCTTGCAGCAGCTGAGGATGTGATCTAGTGTTTCATCTGCTTCCTTACAGAGTCTACACTTGGGATCTGTCGTCGACTTTTCAATTCTGGCTTTGATGGCATTGGTTCTAATGGCTTGTTCTTGAGCTGCCAGAATCAGGCCCTTCATCTCCTTCTCAAAGTCCCATTTGTGAGCCACAGCCAGGTTTTTTCTTTGTCAATTTGGCTCTCAATTTTTCCCAGGAACTGTCCATGGAGAGCTTTCTTTCTCCAGTTTTCTCTTCTGCTCTGGATTGTGTTTTTATGGTATTCCCTCTTTGTCTTTTGGACTTGAATCAGTTTACTACTATTGACTTCCTCAATGTTGGTTCGTGACTGCCATTCACATAATCTGCCAGAGCATGTTTCTCTTCTTCTACCATTTGTTTCACTTGCAGAAGCCCTCTGCCTTCTCATTTTCTGGGCAGGTAGAGTCTGTCGACATCACTACGCGGGTGTAATGAGTAGTGGATTGTCATCAGTTTATTATTATTATTATTATTATTATTATTATTATTATTATTATTTGTAGACTCAAAATGGCCTACATTAAAAGCATTTCCATACAATTTAAAATCTACAGATATACAAAAATTAAAACTGTTAAATAACATTGGTATTTTTCAAAATCAGTTAAAATGCATGAAACATATTCAAAACTAAAAACCACAGGGATTTCCTTCTAGCAGTTTGTAACGGTGCATTGTTTTAGGAGTGTTGGGGGCCTGAGGGGCCTTACCTTAACTGTGTGCTTCATTAAAAATTAAAAGGTTGTGAAATTCTTAACAGAACTCTTGCTGGAAGAAAATATGTAGAGATGCAAGTTCTTGCTTGTCTTGTTCTCACATAAACATGAAATTGGATTAAATTGTCACTTTTTTTCTCTTAAGTAGTATAATGGCAAGATACTTCCTTACAGTCTCAAGTGTTTTACATTTACAAGAACGATTTTGTCCATGATGTTGTTCCCTTGTTACATGGACTTATACAGAGACAGTGTGTTTATAATGGTTTGGTGCTGGAGTAGGACTCTGAAGACAAGAGTTGGAATACCTGTTCCACTATGGAAACCCTTGAGCAAGTCACATACTCTCAGCCTAAGAGGAAAGTGACCAACCTGGACATTTACATCTTTTAAAACTGTTATTATACACATATAAATTTGATGGCTACAGAAGCTTGCTTCAGTGGTAGTATTTTTCATCATGTGCGCAAGTTATTTATCTAACTGAAAGCCTATCATGGTGTCCCAATAAGAGACCAGGCTTGATTTGGCAATGCCAAAAAGTCCTCCTAATGATCTGGATGGTTCCTGTACAGCCTCTTTTTTAAAAATACACAACCAAGTCCCACATGTCCCTGTGTTGCCATCTCCTCAAGTAGTCAAGAGCCAGACTGAATTCTTGGCATTGCATGGAAGTGACATTGATGGACTTGTTAACGTGGGCTGTGTTTACTACGCCACGGGAGTCTATAACCTGGCAAGTGCTTGAGTAATAGTGAGTGCTATTAATAGGTACCTGTGCTGAGCAGCAGAGATTGCAGAATCTGGCAAAGGTTTAGGCTTTCTGAGAATGTTGGCCTCTCTTTTGCTCCATCTGCTGACATGAAGAAAAAGACCTGGGGTTCTGTCATTACGGGAGAGGAAATCAGAACTGGATATATCGTTAGTTACTGAGGAATCAGGGCCTTCCTTTTAAAAGGTGCTCAGGCCCCTCATACTCAACCTAGAAGTGGATATATACTTTGGAAAATAGCATTTGTGACAGAAATTATCTTATGAATGCTTTCTTGTTTGCTTTTCTCTGCTTGAGGAGTCATTGCCAGCCAAGACGTAATAAAACAAATGCCTAAATTAATGATCAGCTGTACAATATAAGGAAAAATGTGTATATTAGTTAAAGTCAAGAAATATTTTAAAAGGCAAAGATGAAAAATCAAGTCTTCTTAGCATCTTGTTTAATATTAAAAGCCACCCACTGAGGAACTTATCCCATTTGCTCAAGGTGTTTTCTTGGTGGGTAGGCCTTTCACATACTGATATGCACTTAGCCAGAATAGTGTTGCAGACACCCAGGGTTGCCAGTTTTGTTTTCTGTGAAAAACATCCTTAGCAAAACATTCAAGTGTCTTTAAAACGTACAATACACAGTAATGTATTCATAATAGACCATGGTTTCCTGCTCAAACAGAGAAAGAAAATTTGAGTGTTAAAATTAGGTCCTGCAATATAGCTCAGAGTCATTGGCTTGAAGATAAATTGGTTTCATGTTCATTTGCAAAGCTCTTCTTAGTTAATACAATGAGCATCCATGCAGGCGGAAGATAGACATCACTGGCTGTCAGACAGCTGTCTTGGTCTCTGTTAATATAGACGAATTGGAGTTCTCTGGGACCCCCTTGTTACATAATTTGGTTCAGACTGTGCTGGTTGTTTCTAGTTACATATATATCTTGTTTTTGTGTATTATAGCCATCATAGCAAGCAGATTTTCCTTTGAAGCTCATTATAAAAAGTGAGAGGCGGTAGGGTTGGAATGGTTCAGATGAGGATGTGGTTGCCTATTTTGAATGTATTTGTTGGCCCTGAATTTTTAATTCTTTTTCATAGCAAGCTGTAAGATTTTTTTGGAAGTGGAAGCACAAAGGGGTCTTAATTCAAGGAAAGGTGTGTTAAAATGGCAATCTTGGGCATCTGAGGAAGGAAGTGGCCTATTATTTGATGAAAGAGGAATCTACATTTCTATACCTCAATTAATTTAAATACATTTTAAAGAACTTAATTATTCTTTCTGAAGAAGTGAATAGATTTTAACTAAAGAAATGTGTTGTTTGAATATATACACAAAAATATGTGTAAGGTTGTACATATTTGCCGATCTTGTTATTGTTGGAAATAAACAATAAAGGAATGTAGTGATTGTTGGAAATAAACAATACCTCGCAAAAAAGTAGGTTAGATTCCAGACCATGCTGGCAAAGCAGATATCACAGGCCTTTCCCCCACTGATATAAAACCCTAAAGGCACATTTCCACTAATTTATTTATTTATTTACAGTATTTATATTCTGCCCTTCTCATCCCGAAGGGGACTCAGGGCGAATCACAGAATACATATATGGCAAACATTATATGCCAATTATACAATGACAAGACAGACAACAGATAGAAATATTTATATACTGGTAGATTTTTCCCCATCTTTGGACTGAAGGTCAGGAGCTCACCCTGACCTGGCTTCGAACTGTCAACTTTTTAGTTGGCAAGATTTACTGCAGCTGGAACATATGATTAACCTGCTGTGCTAAAGCTGGCACTATTGCTTATTAATGATGTTATGTTGTGATGTTCTTCTGAAATTTCATAGTCACCAGGTTCTGAAGTGTTTTCAAACTCATTTCTCTGTGGCAGGTGTATATGGCTTCCTCTTTTAAAAATCAGTGACAGATACCAACACTACCTGCCTTCTGTCAATTCAGTTTTCTGCTACCAGAAATTGGAGTTTTCAAACATTTCTTACCATGGTGTATAATTGGCATGATAATGGTGGTCATATGTTCCATTAGCAGTCTCTTAGTTATGGTACTGCCTTGTGTTTGAGCTCTGGTTGTCCCTGACATTCTTGCCAGTTAAAAACATATCTGTTTGTACAATCTCCTAAGAAGTAAGGAAATGCTTGACTTTTTTATTGTTACTTATGTACATGGCTTTTATTGTATGTTAGCAGACATTTGCACTTTTTATGTACATTTGTACTGTGTGGTTTTAGGCCTGTTTTATGTAGAAGGTTAACTGTCCTGAGCTTTTTTGAGGAGTGGTGGGAATAAACGCAACCAATAGTAATTTCAGCAATACAGAAGAGTAGTAATTGTTCTGTAGCACCCTAGCCTTGTCTTTAGATGTCTCCTTTGTTTCCTCCCTTTAGAATCTGTCTATGACCTTCTCCCCAAGGAGCTGCAGTTGCCACCTTCCAGGGAACTTTCAGTCGCCTCCATGAGTCAAACAAGTGGTGGTGAGGCAGGATCGCCTCCGCCAGGTGTCGTCGCTGCTGGTAAGCCCTGCCCTTCGATCAAGCAAGCGCCTCATAATGCAAGTGCATATTGCTATCCTGAGCAGTGCTGGGAAAGTTTGGCTCTTAAAACAACAAAGCAAAATGGAACTGGACAAAGTTTTACTGCACTTTTCATTTCCCCCCCTCAATGGTGGCCCTCAAATGTATTCTTTTGGAATACAGTTGTTTAGAATTTTCCAATTTGCAATAAAACTCAAATGATAAATGTTCCAGGAAACCCCAATTTAGAAGTTAGGGTAGCAAAGAAACTTTGCAGTCATATTCGGGCCCTTTTGTATTTTATGGAAACAAATTATTGTCCTCTGTTCTCCCCCTGTACCCTCTCTCCCAAAAGTTATGGCTAAACCATGTCACTTGCTGTTTGGAGCTTTAATTGCTTGCAAGATGGGTAATGTCACAGTTAGCTTAGATATGTTTACCTCCCCTTCCCACTTTTTAACTTATGAAACAAAGCATTTCCCTTAGTACTATATTTAGTACTATGTAAAAATTTGGAAAAAAATTTCATTTGGAATTTCCCCCCTATTTTTCTTTTCTTTTTTAAGTAAAACAATGAACTTTTAGTTTTGAGGGGCTTGATTTGGGCATTGGTACTCAGCGCTCTTTCAATCACATCTGAAATGTTTCCACCATGAGCTTCAGCACATTCTTGTTTGACATAGTGTTCAATTGTTTCCTTTCATGTGTCAAAATGCTTTAGAAACTATATCTAGCTTATAAACTTTGTAACAGAACATCACACATGTATAGACAAATATTTCTTCCTTAAGATTACTATGAAAGTGAGCCAAGGAGCTGAAGGGATGCTTTTTGCTTTGCTTTGATAGTTTCTTTCTTATACAGTCCCTTCATTTGAAAGTACACGGTTTAAGCCTAGGATAGGAACTTTACAGCACTGCTCAATGCTGATGTATTGATACTTTTCCCTTGTGAAATCTGTGGATTTTCCTGTAGGTTAGGGAAAATTGGTGCTTCAGGAACAAAGCATCTATGCAGTTTGCATTTCAAAGTTGATTCAGTCAAAAGAGAGCAATGATTACAAAATCTTTATAAAACCACTAAGAACTCAAATCCACAAATTTCACAAATTTTATATTGAAATCATTTTCAAGCATTTGTAGGACTGATGAGGAGAATTGAGTGTCTGTTACTCCTGGGCTTCAGTTGTTTGATGGTCAATCCACTTCCTTACAAAATCTGAAAAAAACATAGTTCAGGTTAAAGGAAACAGGAAAAAAATTAGCTAAATGAGTATCAAGAACTTAAATTATATTACTTGAGTATAATATACTTTAGAATAATATTAATTAAATAAATTAAATTAAGCTGGTCTGAGTCCCTCAGCAGAGGTTGAGAAGATCAGGATATAAAAGTTTTAATAAATAAATAAATAAATACCTCTTTTTAGTTTGCATAAAGTTTAAAACCCTTCCCTCGAAAGAATTAGTTCAGATTGCCCCAGTTTACATGCCAGTACATTATCTCTGAAGTGGTAATGCACCTTTAATATCTTCATCATCATCATCCTAGGCCTTAGAAATATGGCTTAAAATGGAAGAACCTTCTATTTTTTTGGAGGATACATTGTTGGCATTATGCCTACACATGCAAAAACCAACTCAGATATTTTCTGCAGAAACCGACCACGTTGACTTAAAGGCTGATTCAAAAAATGGCAGCTTCTGTATGCAGCAAATCATAATCAGTAAAGCAATAGCTCTTGTTGTTTTTCAGTCAGTTTTGGGAGAATCTCCCAAGTTAAAGGAGTTGCTTGTGGGTGAAATCTCCATCAGCCATATTGCCGGGTATCTGGGAGGGCAAGGTGACCTTGGGTGATGCAGAACTGTGACAACCTACTTCTTTATATCCTAAAAACAAATGTTTTCATTAGTTTTCATACACCTCTCATCTATTATTATTTTTATTATCCTTTCAGAAAACGAATTAAAATATGTCATATTTGACAATCTTTTCTTAAATCTGAGTGCATTTATTTCATGCAATATTGAAGTGGCGCTCTGTGTTTTGGCTCCATGAAAGCTGCCCTCCCAGTTAAGCTCTCTGACGCATGTCTCTCTCCTGGTGCCAGTGAGTAGATTAAGAGGTGAGGGCTGGGGAAAAATAGTTTCCTTATTTAAGGCTTAACTCCATTTGTTCCCCACTTCCCTGGCCACAGGGTGGCACAGTATCTGGCTGCAAATCAGATCGCCCCAGGTTTTTCTCTCAGAGCTTTGATTTGAGGTTCCAAGACATATAAACGGATTATATAAAGATGTGTTGCAGTTAACTTCAGATTTTTGGAGGAATGGGATTGGCTGGTCTCAGCTACGAGGGCCCAAAGGAACAGACTGCGAGTTCTGCTGCAACTATTTGTTTCCCATTTATGAAGTTGTTTAAACTATTTTAAAACTGAAGCTTGGTAACTGTCTTTCAAGAGCACATTTGATTATTTTGACACAGAAGTGAGTGTTTCATATTCATTAGTCCAAACCCTGGAGGAATTCCTTCATAATCCCAACCAACTAGCAACCCTGAATGTTCAGATGGTTCTCCATTTCTCTGTGGATCTCTTAGAGAAAGGAGAAGCAGAGCTGTTAAACCAGAGCAGGTACCTGCCTCAGATCTTTCTGGTTTTTCTTGAGGTCTAGCTCTTCACAAAGCAATATAGGCAACAGTAAAATATATCAGTAAAATACATCAAATCAAATATACCTAGAGAAATAGAGCCATTGGAAAGGATCTTAGCAAAAGTGGGGACTGGGCAACCCTCCAGTTGTGGTGAGATGGCATCCCTCATCTTTCCTTGCTCGTTGCCTGTGCTGGCCACATTGGTTGGGAATTGTCATTGCACAACATCAGGAGAGTTGTTCAGGTTCTTCCCCTGTTTCAGAGTAGCGATTGTGTGCCTGTGGGTTTTGTGGTTTCACTCCAAGCATGACATCAGTTTAGATAGAGTGCATTTCAGTTTTCATTCTTGGCATAGAGTCTGAGTTGATAGCAAGACTGTTTTAGTTCTAATTGGTTGGCATGTCTTCACAAAGCTCACTAAAGTATTCTGACAAAAAATAACAGCCTGTCAGGTAGGGGTAAATTAGCTCTTTAGCAACAGTGGAATCACAGTCTCTTTTGTTGTTGTTGTTGTTGTTCCTTTTTTGCCATTTTTAACAGCGGTGGATGGGCATGCTTTTTGTGTGTTATCTTTATGAGGGCTGGAATTTGTTCCTTTTCTTTGGATGCCAATATAAAATCTCTGGCACAGAGTACGCCTTTGCCTATCCAAAGTTAGAAGGAGATTCTGGTAACTTTTCCAAAGCACATACCTTGATAACTTAGTCTCATAGTGGCATGCAAAGGGAGGTATGGAATAGTTCAATGCTTAGTGATTGTTCAAGGGAATGTTTCCTTATCCACATGCACTGAGTTTGAATTTACTCATCGACTTAGTGCACTGAAGCAGAGATATTCTCTGCTACTAAATTCAGTGGAAGTAAACCTGTAGTTTGCCAGATCCTGATATATATTGTCCACTTACAACCATTTCTGTTCTCCTTTTTTTTTGCTGGCTGAGTTGCTTTAAAATTTGTGTTTCCTAAACTCCCATACCAAGCACAGCTACAATGTAGAATCTGTTCTTTTCAGCAAATTTGTTACCTATTGAAAGATCAGCCAAGAAACTGTAAGTTTGTCCACCTGCTTTTGGGCTTAAGGTTGCAAAAGGAATAAGGGTGAGGGCCTTGCATTCAGGCTTGCTGGTTGGTTGTTCTCGTGGTCACTTTTGGATGTCAGGCCTTCTGGCCTGAACTAGTGAACATGAACCACTCAGCAAAAATTCCAGGTAAGAAATAACCACTTGTGCATCTGAGAACATGAGTATTATAATAATTTTTCTGCCTATCAGTGGAAACTGAATTATGTCTTTATTCTGTTAATTGTTTTGGCATGAGAATGTAAGGGATTTAAAAAAATATTTGGGGGTTAATGTTAAGTAACCAAGCTACTTTGAACCTTTAAAGTAAGTTGGATTGCTTGATGATATTTGCTGGGATGCTAGTTGTTTTCTCTATTAATACACTTAACTTGCATTCTAGCTCCGCCATTCAGAGACAGGCATCGTGTGGTGGGTTGTGTGACAGTGTCTGTCAATAGTGAAGACAAATAGTACCAGAGACACTTAACCCATCCAATCTCACCCAGGGTGTAGGTCGGTCTTGTTTTCAGACTTTTTCATAAGTCTATTTCCTTTCTTTGTTTTTGTTTTGTTGATAAATACATAGTGGATTGACTGAAGTTAAACTCTAATAAAGTTTTTGACTTGACATCATTAAGTAAAGCTGAAGAAAAGTAGAAAGCTCACAATTGAGATGGAAGGTGTCAGAAGCAGGTTTGCAGCCACTTTGTACATCCTGGTCCATAATTCTGCCTTTGACTCCACAAAGGTTCACTTCCTCCTGACTGTATACTTTGGAACGGTGCCTCTGTGCTCAATAGTCCTTGATAATAAACCTACAGAAAGACTTGGGCTGTACTGGAAGCTGAGAGCAAAATGGGCCAGGCTCAGATGTGTGCTGTTGCAGAGCAAGTGGCAGACAGCATGGCAAGTATGCTAGGCTCTGGGAAGCAGCGAGTTCTGCCTTCAGCCTTATGGTATACATGAAGAAGGATAGACATTTGGAAAGCTTGACCTGCGATCTCTTAGCTCTCCCCTGTGAGATCGGAAGCTTTCTTTGCTGCTCTGTTACTTTCTGATCATTAGACAGATGCTTTGCTCCCAAATGAAAACCCTTTGGCCCTTAAGGGTTGCACCAAGAGACTTTCAGAAATACCTATGGGTCTGCTAGAGAAAGACATGCCTTCTTTTAAGCTCTGCCTAAAGATAGCAAATCCCTTTGTGGCTGGCACTGAGCTGATGAAGGACAAAGAGTTTAAAGGTGCTTAAGATCTTTCACCCTTTCCTGGTTCTACAAAGTTAGTGCTGGGCTAGTCACTCGAGCTTCAGCTCCTCACCTCTTGGTTCTTATGCAGAGGAGAGGCTTTTAAAAGCAATGCTTCACTGCCATAAAAATGAAATGAGCCGATGTTAAAGGCCATTAGTGGCCGGGAGGCAGTGAGTGTGTGCACACATGAGCAAGGGTCATCGCCAGCTGAGATAAACCCAAACTGTGTCAGAGATCGGGGCTGGCCTTTGCCTGGCAGTTGCCTTCGCTGAAACAGAACCGAAGGAGACAAATGCTTTGGACAGTGCCAGTGTGCTGCGTGTTCCTGAACTCCATACTTTATTTCAATTTGGAATCCTGGTGATGTGGGAGCCCCAAAGACTTCTAGCTTTCAGTGTGTTCTCTCATTGGAATGAGTTGACTTTTATACAGTGTATTGTGGTTCTTATCACCATGCCCCTGAAGACTTATAAAACATTCCTGGCATGCGATTGTAATTCTGAAATGGTTTTTAAGATGTAACTGATTCTTGTCAGTCTGTACTCTTGTATTTAAAAAATGACAGTAAAAACTATACATCCCTCCCCCAGCCTTGAGTTTGTGCTTATTGGCCTGTGTCTCTTGAGTTCTAGAGAATTATTTCTGTCCTGGAAGAACTAAGGAGATGCTTACGGCGGGAGCTCTGTAGCTTATTGTTCTGAGTGGGATGTGAATCCTTTTGGTGACCACCTTCTTAGCTTGAGCCCATTTTCTCTCATTTGGGGCAGGGCTGCTCTTCTGTGGCTGACAAGTTTGGCCTGTCCGGAGCCGAGGACAGTTGATGAAGCACTTTTATTCCTTAGTTTCTTCAAGTCTGCTTCCGTGCAATAATTTCCTGTTCCATTTGAAGCTCTAAAGCTCACATTGCTTCGAACTGTGTTTATAGTATGAAAAGCCAGTGTTCATTGCAGTAAGGCATTGAACATTTGCTGCCTCTTATTCCGCTTCAGAAGTAGGAAGTCTGCCTCCAGACGTCAAGCTCTGCAACAGGAGGCCAGCCTCAGGTTACATACAGTTAATCTCCCAGTTTGGTCACAGAATTGGTTCTTCTTAATAGGCGTGACTAAAATCACTTACGCTTTTTAAGCTTTGGAGAACTTGAAGGCATTGTTTAACTTGCTCTCCCTCCCTTGCAACATGCATGGTTCAAGCATAGGGCTGGCAAGAGAAAAGCAGGGAACCAGTGGCCTCCAGGAGAGCATATTCCCATCTAATAATCTGTAAAGCAGTATTGATTGGAAGGAATCTCCTTTGGGGGAGGTTGTCATTTGCAACATGTGCTTCCAGCTATTTGGGTTTATGCTAATATATAGAAATTGTTAATTTTCTTTTCACCTGAAGGTATCAAAACTTGTTTGGTATAATGCCCCAGCTTGGGCTAGAATGGAAACACTAAATTCTTCCATTTTAGAGAGGCACACTTATGTTTTGTTTCCAGACTTGGCCTTTTTAAATCCACATTCTGCACTGAACAGAACACAAACATGTTGCATCCCTTCCTTTCTTTGCCTGTCCTTGATGTGGTCATCTTTGCCTTGAGCAGGAATCCAAAGATGGTCCCCTTCTGCATGGAGTTTCCTTTGGGGAGGGTTCATTAGGGTCATGGGATGAGAGCGCAGCCACCTTCCTACCTGCATGCCTTTCCATGGCACATGCCAAGCACGGAATGTATGGGGGCTGCATACTTGCATTTCTAAGTGTTTGAAAACCCAATAGAAACCAGCACTGTTTTAACAAAACTCAGGTTTGACACACATCCAATAGCAACGTGTTCTAATTCAAAGTGGCTGCAAATCAGCAACTCTAGTTACTGAAATAAATAAATTTTACTTCTTTCTAAGGAAAGCACTGCATTTAATGCATGATACAAAGAAATTGAAAAAATGTTTTTTTTATATAATTAAGATGCAATTCTGAGTGACTGAATCTTCTGATTTCAGACACTAATTTTGCCAAGAAGCAAGCTGAAAAAATGGAACTGGTATCAGTCAGTGGCTCCAGAAGGAAGTGGGTTGGTCCAAAGGAGGGGCACCCGAGAACTTTTCTTCTGAGACAGCAAATAGAAGATCCATCAGTTTTTCTCTTAGTCCATATTTATTGTACTTCTTAATGCAATGCTAACATTTTCACTTAGTTAAAATGTTGGCATTTTGTAGATTAAGATAAGCATCTGTTCAATGCAATTCAGGCAAAATGAAATGCCCCCAAGGATCTGAAATGATTGAAACAATTGCATTCCTACACAGGACTGATTCTACTTCATTTCTGTCCATCAAGCCTTCACCTTTGTATTGTTAACTTAAGAGATAACCTCTCCTTTACTCTGTCTGTTTAGGGAGCTACTTGTTCCCTTATGATGCGGAACTGGTTGCTGCATCAGTTTATGAGGCCTATGCAGAGAGAACTGATAGGCACAAAACTCAGCATATTTCCTTTGACCTCTGGAGAGCGCTTTGGAGGCTTCCTGAGCCATTCATCATATTATATTGAAGAACTCTTCCTGACAGCTCTCCTGAGTATTAGTCTCTAAGAGATCTCGAAATATTAGATGGCCTGCTGTCCTTTCTGGCAGAATTATGTTGCCGTTGGTATTCAGCACTTTTGTCCAGCTGAGATACAGGGCTCTGTCTCTGTTGCCAACCCATCTGGGGTATCAGAGTCTTCCCTTTTTAGGGTCTCTCTCTAACCCACTTTAAGGAGGGATGACTAGTCCTGCATCTGCAGTCTTCTTGTCTTGTCTTTCCGAGTATGCTGTGACTTAGCTGATTTATTTTTGAAAAGCTACAAGTGTGGATTGATACCAGTTCCATTTTGTTGCCATTTATTTTTTATATTTCATTTATCATTTTGTAATGGATATCTGGAATAATAATAAAGCAGCTCTCTTCTCATTTATTTTCTCATATTTTTGTTCCAGGATTTGCCTCTGAAGCAGGGAGTGTCTGCATTAAAAATGACCTGTAGTTCTCTGCTTCATAGGTTAGAAACTTATTTTAATACTTTGTGGCTAAGCACAGTCCCATTTTTGACCAAAAAGGAAAAAAAAATATTGCTCAACGATTGGCATTGAATGTGGCCTAAAAATGCTATCTATTATCTCGCATTGGGTTTCCTATCATTTTGTATGAAAAACGGCTTAAATTCGTAAACTGGCCAAGGCAAGAAAAGCGCCCTTGTTTGCTTGCAGCCTTTGTACGCCTTAACTGGACGTTTTTAAAAGGCCCGATTGCCACGCACACAAAAACAGAGCTACCATTTGGAGGCTGTTTCCGAATACCACTGTGCTGCTTAAGCCTTTGTCGTTTGAAGGGCTCAAATTGGAGAGCCAAGCCAAATTCCAAAACGCTCCTTTGGGGGAAAAGCAATGAGCCCACCAAAACTTGCGATTTCAAAGGGACTGCTATAGCCAGCGGAGTTGGGGATGGTGTGCCCTGTATTGACTTCTGAATTGTACACCGCAGATGCTTCTTCAGCTCCTTCCTCTTCCTCCATGGGCGGTGCTTGCAGCTCCTTTGCCACCACCTCTTCCAGCCCCACCATTTACTCTACCTCAGTCACTGACAGCAAAGCTATGCAAGTGGAGAGCTGCTCCTCAGCCATGGGGGTAAGTAACCGAGGGGTAAGTGACCAGCCGTTAACCCATAACGCAGCCCAGCCGCCGCAGTCGCAAGCACAGCCCACCCCGAAGCGGCACACAGTCCTGTGCATCTCACCACCGCCGGAGGACCTGCTGGACACCAGCCGGATGTCCTGCCAGGAGGAAGGCTGCGGCCTGGAGTCCGAGCACAGCTGCAGCATATGGGTGGAGGACTCCCCCTCCAACTTCAGTAACATGAGCACCAGCTCCTACAACGATAACACCGAGGTGCCGCGCAAGTCGCGCAAGCGCAACCCCAAACAAAGGCCGGGCATCAAGAGGCGGGATTGCGAGGAGTCGACCATGGATATCTTTGACGCCGACAGCGCCAAGGCGCCCCATTATGTCCTTTCGCAGCTCAGCACCGACAGCAAGAGCAACGTGAAAGCGGGAAATGGGTTGGTATCTGCTTTTACCTTCTGTCAGGATGGCTTTTTTTTAACCCACACTAAAATAGTTACCTTGACTTTTGTCTGCAGTTCAGCTTAGGTTCTCACTCAGAAGGACAGGACATCCAATATGTGGGGTTAGGTTCATTATTATTATTATTATTATTATTAACAACAACAACAACAAAAACAACTTTATTTTTGTATCCCTCCTCCAAATCGCCGAAGGGACTTGAGGCGGCTTACATGGGGAAAAGCCCAATCAACATAGTTAAAACATAACACATTAAAATTCGTAAAACAGCATCATAAACAATATAAACAAACAGATACATAACACAATATAAAAACAACAACCGAACAACAACCAGTGGCCTAAAATAGTAGTAGTTTCTGGTTGTGGTAGTAGTTTCTGGTTTGGGCATGGGCAAATCAATTGTGAGGACAGGGCTAGTGGATAAAGTGCAAATACCAGATGTCAGAATTAAGGATAAAGGGCAATATAGGGTGGGACCCTATATTATATATCAATGCACATGTGTGGAACTATAACTGTTTGGAGGGATTATTTACTTGCCATTGAGTTAACCAGTATTGGAACAGCTGGCTACCACTTTCCTTTGGAGCCTAAGTAGTGGATTGGAAGCATGTTGATAAAGTTATGTTAAAAACAGAAACCCATGTCTCCCCCCACCGTTCCATACAAAGTTCTGTGTGAGGAGCTTACACATATTTCACTCTCTCCATCAATTAAAGATTTTAATCTTTATATTAACACTTACTAAAAGGTACAGAGATCCCGACCTCAGTTTGTGTTCCATGTCACTTCAGTCTTGTATTTGATTATTCAGAAATCAATTTCTAATCCTATTATGCTGTGTTCTTCTCACACATGCAGGGTGTGTGATGTCCATGTCTGGGCAGTGGCTTCTCAGCTCTTTGACTTTATGCCACCTCAGTCTAGAGATAAAGGCTTAGATCCAAAGGATCCACTTTATGGAGAGAAGGAACCTTTTGCCCAATGTCTCTGATCTGTCTCTGGCAGATCTCATGTACCTTAAGGCCCCAGAACATCGTGTTGTGTGTTTGTGTGTCCAAAGATGCCTGCAGAATCAGTCACATTCCTCCCTCCCCAGAGACAAAATACTTTCTGCTTCTACAAGAGAATCTTTGGATCTAAGTACAGTAGAGTCTCACTTACTCAACATAAACGGGCCGGCAAAATGTTAATAAGTGAAAATGTTGGAAAATAAGGAGAGATTAAAGAAAAGCCTATTAAACATCAAATTATGTTATGCTTTTACAAATCATGTTTTACAACAAATTGATAGAAAAACAGTTTAATACACAGTAACATTAAGTAGTAATTATTTTATTTACGAATTTAGCACCAAAACATCACAATGTATTGAAACAGTTGTGGATCCGGGTGGGAGGCCAGACTGCATTGGATAATATAGAGCATTGGATAATACAGAACATTGGATGAGCAAAGGTTGGATAAGCAAGAGACTACTGTATTATGTGATGGGATTCTTTGGCCCATAATTAAATAGTTGACTACTTTAACCTTATGTTTGTGACATATTCTCAATATATGAGTATAAAAGTATGAGTTGGTAAATACTGTGAGAGGAAAAGAAAAGAAAATCTAAAAGAAAAATACATTTAGATTGTATTCCTTTGTTGTACCTTTGTTGTACATACTTAAAATATGCCTTTGTAAAGCCGTAATGAAAGAAACTCTCCAGAGTAGTTGTTTTATGCTATCGAGAAGCCCTTTGGGGATTTGATTGGGGAGTTGTTGTCACTCAGCATGACTTGGATCTTTGATGTTCCCTGCTCTCCCCATTCAGTGTATAAAAGCTCCTAGAGTTCAGGAGAGAGTGCAAAATGATTTCAGGTTCCAAACTTGGGAAGCGTTCTCCATCTCTTCATTCATAGGAAGGCAAAAGAGCTAGGTAGAGTTTGCAGGTCACTGGGTGAGCATCATGCAGGCCTCCCAAGTGTGGTTGGGCCACCCTTCCATCAAAGCCAGTAGGGAGGAATGATGGGAGCTGAAGTCCAACAGCCACATCAGAGCTGAAATAATTTCAAAAAAATAAATCTGGGGCTCTCTGCTTACTGCGTAAAGCCTGCTAGACAAATACAAAAAGAGCTGTAATCCAACAGCCACATCAGGAGCAGTGAACAATTCTCACTGATTTAGGAAGCAAGTCCAATTCCTGGAGCCCTAATGAAATAGTTACTTGGTCTGAGGAAACCTCTTTTTTATTTTAATATCTGTGTTTGTTAAATAAAAGTTTTGTTAGGAGTCTTTAAACACCATTGACTTCAGTAGGAAAGGTACATAGAAGACTGATTACCTGCCTTTGAATTTAGTAAGAAGTCCCAAATGTTATGGATTGAGGATGGTATGGTATGGCAGGAGGATGTATGTGTACATGTATGAAGAAATGCATGATGAAAATTCTATAGTCTTTTGAAGGAATAGAAATAAGCAACATCCAACATCATATGGTCTAGGGGTAGCCCACATGTTAACGGAACAGATATTTTTGTCATATTTAGTATAGTCATTAAAGAGATACTATGTTTGGATAAATAGAAACCATCATGGTGTTGTGGATATATCCTCAAAATTCATGGTTACGTTAGGAAACTCAGAGGATTTAATATTTTGCTCAACTACATATGTTTATTTATATAATTAGCATCTAGAGAGGGTTCTGCAAATACATTACAATGTTAAAAATGGTCATGTTTAGTGAGTCAGTGCATGGCAAAGACTTTCAACATGGCTGTATTCAGTGCCATGATTTATGCAAGTATTGCTGCCTGTACATCAGTGTAACTCTTATCGTTGCAAAACAAGTTTAGTTATAGTAAACTTTAATTTCTCTTGTGATGAGAGTGCAAGGAATCACCCCTCTCCACTGCATGTCTTCCTGGCCATGTCTTACAGAGATGGCCCGAGTCTGTGTTTGTCCCCAGCAAGGCCTTGATAGTGTTTAAAGGGATGTGCCTGGTGACAGGTTCACGTGTTCTGCTTTGACACCTCAGGACACCTGAAACCCCCAAAACCACAGGCGGGAAGAAGAGCCCGATGCTGTGTGGCCAGTATCCCAGCAAACAGGAAGGCAAGGAGCTGAAGATTGTGGTGCAGCCGGAGACGCAGCACAGGGCGCGGTACCTGACGGAAGGCAGCCGAGGCTCTGTGAAAGACCGGACGCAGCAGGGCTTTCCCACCATCAAGGTAGGAGTGACGAAGGGGCTGGGTCCTGGTCCCCGGGGCGTTTGTGGGCTTCTGTGCTGCGGAGAGCACTCTTTCAGCATCGTGTACCTTTTTGTCAAGATCAGCTTGAACAGCACTGAACTAGAACTCGTGTGTACAGTTCCATATTCCCCAGGGAGGTGACCTTTTTGTCACTTGGAGAGGTCTGGATGTTTCTCAGGTTAGGACAGGGACGCCTTTCTTGCCGAGGGAAGGAGAAGGACATACATGTAAACACAGTGCTCCCAGCACTGAAGTTCCAGATGAATGAACAGAGCACAGTCTGTGAGGGCAATGGGCTCCTCTGTTAGTGCCTCAGGAAAGGAGGAGGAGGAGGAAGCCCACCTGAATCTGAATAGTAAGCAACATTGTTGATCTTTAGATTGGAGGGGAAGCAAGTTTTCGGGATGCCATCTTGTAATTCTGTAGGGCACCTAGAAAATGACACCTAAGTCCAGAACCCAGAGTGATGAATCACGATTTATGTTCCCTTCCTACTCTCAAGCCAGTGAAGAATTATAGAGTTGGGAGACCACATTCAAGGCACTCCCAACAGATGGCCATCCAGCCTCTATTTAAAAGCCTCCAAGATAGGTATTGTAGATATTGTACAGGCAGCAGAATTCAAGGTGATGTGAGTAATCAAATATTGTTGAATGTGTTTATTTTGATGTAATTGTCAGTATGCTTTCTTTCTGGCCGTTGAATGTTTGCCTTACATGTTGGAAACCACCCTGAGTCCCTTCGGAGAGAGAGGGTGGAATACAAATTATTATTATTATTATTATTATTATTATTATTATTATTATTAGTAGTAGTAGTAGTAGTAGTAATCTGAGGAGAGATGAATTAAAATAAAAAATTTAAATAACTAGACTATGTAACCTTTTTCACTTTTCTTTTAGCTCAATAGCATAGAAATTAAATTGTTCAGACATGTATATGCCCTGCCAAAGCAGTATATTAAAACTTGTAATATTCAACACTTTACTGTGGTGATCACCTATTTAAAAGGTTCCTTCCTCTCCCTAAGTGACTTTTGAAAATGTTGGTTTTACTGCAAGGATAATCACAATTAAGTTAGCATGAAAGAATGTCCATTTGGGATTGTTTTGTATTGTAGATTTTATATTGTGTCTATAAAAAGAGTCTTTCCTATTTAGAATGAGAAATTCAACTGTTTTTATCCTTTTTTTGCACATTGGGTTTTAAGACATCAGAAATGTCCCTTGTGTCATTGTGTTTGCAAATGCATCGCCTTGCCTGCTATGTTTTTCTAAGCTTTCTCACATCGCTTTTTGGTTTCAGCTGGAAGGCCACAATGAGCCTGTGACACTGCAGGTGTTTGTGGGGAACGATTCTGGCCGGGTGAAGCCGCACGGGTTCTATCAGGCCTGCAGGGTCACCGGGCGGAACACCACGCCCTGTAAAGAGGTGGACATCGAGGGCACCACCGTCATCGAGGTGGGCCTGGACCCAGGCAACAACATGACCCTGGCGTAAGTCACGGCTTTTTGGGATATATAAATTACAGATCTGTTACAGATACAAAGGTTGGAGGTCCAAATACTGATACCTTATCAGCTAAGGAAAAGGAGTCTATCTGGGGAGCAGTGAATATATATCTATACTAGCTTGTGTGTCTGGCGTTTCCCGGATTTTTTAAAAAGTCAATTTTTAATTTTACAAAATGCAAAAGGTTGTGGGTGAACTACCATGAAACTCCATCAGTACTTAAAGTTAGTCAGGTTGGGCAAGTTTGCTTCGGATGCATCATTAGTGAGGGTCAGTGTGCTCTCTGGCTGTAAGGTAAACTACAGCTCCCACTATGGTGAGTCAGACCCCCCAAACCCCTCCACTAGGTTGAGTTAGTCATGGGAATTTTGGGTGACAAGTTAGATCCAGGACCATCATCAACGAAGGTCACAGTTTCTCTGGTTGTGGTCGAACTACAACTCCTTTAAATGAAGGTTAATTCCCCCCAAACCTGGTCATGTGGGTTCTGTATGCCAAATGTGGTCCAGGCCCATTGTTGGTAGGAGTCGTAGTGCTGTGTCTTGATGCAGGGTGAACTACAACTTCCATCATGTTGAGTCAGTCCCCCAAACCTTCCAGTATGTTCAGTTGCTGATCAATTCCACTCTGTTTGCTGTGTGCCATAGGAAAACAGCCTTAAGGAAGAGGCAGTGAGTGGGATCATGCAAATTCCACAGTACTGGAGAGAGAACGGAACACTGGGATGTGGTGCTCACTATAACCTGGAAGGAGGGCCATTGGTGGCTCCTCAGCACTGGGAGTTGAAGCTGTTTGTTGAAGCAGGAGGCTGTCTGTATAAATGGACACCTGTGCCATATACAGACATACAGATTTTCACTTCTATTATGTGTATAGATATATATATATATCTGTTCACATACATACAGAGAGAGTTTTCATTTAGACTGGCTACTAATTTCACATTGTGCAGGGCAGGTTTATTTCTCACTTTTAAGAGTAGGTTTGTCTGTTCAGTTATGTCAGTGGTTGCGTTATTTATGTTCTGTGTCCACACACCTATCACACCGTTGAGTTGAATGCAGCAACCCCAACCTTTCATGGAACTCGGTGTATGTACAGAGAACAGTCAAGCCCAAATAAATCTTGGAAATTTCATGGGAATCCATGCCAGTATGCAGGATACACAGCCTAAGAACTTGAACTTACACAGTGCCTCCCTTGAGCATATACTTTTGCTAGGTTTCCCCATTACAATGGTGGAGGCCCTTCTGGGGACCAGTTTTTCCCCCTCCGTCTTTTAGGTGAGGTGTTCTGGTGGTTATAAAACATGGCAAATGGAAGGAAGATGCCTTCCTGGTGAGCGCCATTCCTCAGAAGCTGCCAGTGAGCTGGCTGGACTCCTATCAGTAGTGGCAAGGCAGACACAGGCTTTGGCTGTGCTCTTGCCAAAAGTCCCTTTAACTGGGCTGACATCTGAACAAGCAGAGTATCCTATGATGAGGCGCCCCCTCAGTCTGGCTCAGCCACAGTCACGCCAGACAATGCAGCCTTTCAGCAAACACAAAGCTCTTGTAAACAGGGGCCACCAGGCCAAGCTCCAGGCCGCTCTGATTGGGAGACATGGAGCGGCCCGTGACTCAGTCGGTCTCATCTCCTGGGATTGTAACCCTCAATTCCGATTTGGCTTCTTATCCTTAAAATGGAACAGCCGAGTCATGTAAAAATGTCAGGGGTCTAAGGACAGAGCATTTTATAGTATGGGACTAAGTTCTGTGTTCAGATCTTTCTGCACCATCTTCATGTTTTTAGTCAATGTTTTAAATTTAAATTTTGACCATAAAAACACACACAAAATTTTAAAAAAACAATAATACTTGTAAATACATAAACATAGACATACTTAGACAATGATTACTTAGAAAATTGAGTGTGTGACGTCAGATTGAACCTTATTTATTTAAGATATTTTTACCTCGCCTTTCTCTGCAAGTGGACACAAGGTGGCTTACAACACAATAAAACAGTACAAAAGTTAAAACATGGTTAAAATAAAACCTTCATGTTTTTAGTCAATGTTTTAAATTTAAATTTTGACCATAAAACACACACACAAAATTTTTAAAAAACAATAATACTTGTAAATACATAAACATAAACATACTTAGACAATGATTACCTAGAAAATTGAGTGTGTGACGTCAGATTGAACCTTATTTATTTAAGATATGTTTACCTCGCCTTTCTCTGTAAGTGGACACAAGGTGGCTTACAACACAATAAAACAGTACAAAAGTTAAAACATGGTTAAAATAAAACCTTCATGTTTTTAGTCAATGTTTTAAATTTAAATTTTGACCATAAAAACACACACAAAATTTAAAAAAAACAATACTTGTAAATACATAAACATAGACATACTTAGACAATGATTACCTAGAAAATTGAGTGTGTGACGTCAGATTGAACCTTATTTATTTAAGATTTTTTACCTCGCCTTTCTCTGCAAGCGGACACAAGGCGGCTTACAACACAATAAAACAGTACAAAAGTTAAAACATGGTTAAAATAAAACCTTCATAAAACCCGCTATCGTCTCCCCTGTGTTAGGGAAAAACTACCCTAAAATATAGCAGAGTATACAAACATGAACAGGATACAAAAGTTGAGCATTCAACTCATTAGCGAGCAGAGTGTGTGATGTGACTGTTAAGAATTCAGAGCTTAGGAGGCATACATGCATAGTCCAATCTTTAAAAAAATCATAAAAGGTTTATTTACAATAATAAGAAATAATTGCATTTCTTAACAATTAAGAACTGGGTCTGAGCTACTCTGACACCCATCTCTTCTAAGTTTTCAAGAGAGGGAAAAACACAAATCACTATATCTCTCCTTACACACTATTGGAGAGAGATCTCAAAGCACACAGCACATACTCTCCATACTAATGTGTAAAAAGACAGAAGTCAGATTCATAAAGCTTGCAGTAGAAAAGTCTCCACTTTAAACAACCAATCAGAATGAGAGCAGAAAAACAGAAGAGAGAAGAAAAAGATACATTCCAAACTGTCACTCAGGAAACATGAGGGAAGGGAAATCCTTAGTCTATACTAAACTAAACTGTTTCTCATTGAGGACTTGAGCAGTGTGGGGTTGAATCCCAACACCCTATATAAACCCCTTTGATATTCAAGCAATTAAACCTTAAAACTCAACCCAGCCCTGAAGCATAATTCTTTAGTTAAAAGCTTTCTTAAATAAGATGGTCTTGTGCTTCCAGGGTGGACTGTGTGGGAATCCTGAAGCTGAGGAATGCAGATGTCGAGGCCCGTATAGGCATCGCTGGGTCCAAGAAGAAAAGCACTCGAGCCCGGTTGGTCTTCCGCGTGAATGTCCCTCGGAAAGATGGCTCCACACTCACCCTGCAGACGCCCTCCTCGCCAATTTTGTGCAGTAAGTGCCCATCACAGGCTCTGGGGCCCTTTCGCGGGGACTTGCAGCTCTGCACCTCACTTTAACCTGACAGACTTTGTGTCTTTATGTCTTAAAAACAAGACTGAACAATCCCAGTTGGAAGATTTAATGGGATGAACTTGGGGGATCCCAGTAAACTCTCTTTTCAGTGGATGAGTGACCAAATATGAAGAAACAAACCCACTAATATTGCGTCAGTGAATTAAGTAAAACTATCCTATTCAGAGGACAGCATCAAATGCATTTAACAATGGGAGATTCTTTAATACCTAGAGTCAGCATTTAGTAGCAGCTTGAGGCAGCTGCTCCTATCGAGCAGAATATTTGTCATTGACTGGAGGAAAATGACTTCTTTCTTCACCTGTATTGTACTTAAGATAGCAAATTATTCCTCTCTTCCTCCTATGTAAGATTATAATATGGTTTGTTTGAGCTAGTTTATACATTTGGGGATTTGCCAGGACACAAAGCCCTGTGAGGCTTGCTTTTGGGTATCCAGCCAAGGGGACCAGTCTTTTCGTAAGATTTTTCAGGACATTTCAGCACATACAAAACAATGTTGGTTTACTTTGAAGACTCCTGACGTTAGGCTCATTTGTGAAGCTGAAGATTGGTACCAGTTCCTTGCAGTCTTGCTTAATTGTGAGGGATATGACCAACTCCTTTTCTCAGAGGTTACAGCTATGTGCTGCTGTGCTTCACTTAGAAGAAGGGAAGGCAGGGGCATTAAAAAGAACCAAACAAACCGAGAGTGTGCTTTGCCCAGTTCATTAGGGAGACCTCTGGAAAGATGGTCAGCAACATACATGTTTTCCATTGAAGACTGTCTTCATTCTGCTTCACTCTGTAGCTCAGCCGGCAGGGGTCCCAGAGATCCTAAAGAAGAGCTTGCACAGCTGTTCCGTGAAGGGAGAAGAGGAAGTCTTTCTGATTGGCAAGAACTTCTTGAAGGGAACTAAAGTCATCTTCCAAGAGAACACATCTGGTGAGTGCCCAGGCTGTGTGTGCTGCACATTAAGAGATGAGAGCAAGTGGAGCCGGACGGGGGGAGCCCAAGGGATCGCATCCATAAAGGTAGCCCAGGATGTACAGTAATGAGCCTCTCTTTGGTTTTCAAACAGATGACAACTCTTGGAAAGCAGAAGCGGAAATCGACATGGAACTATTTCATCAGGTATTGGCTATACTGGGCCCATAACTCTTGTTGGGCGAGTGGGCTTATTAATAAAAAAATCCTCTCCATGAATGTATACAGAGCAACTTATTAGCAGCAGCGCGACTCAACACCAGTAACCCAAAGTGATAAAAAGAACAAAAACACACAGACCAATGTTATCTCTTTCTTTGGAGGCTTTTCTTTGTAGTAAAATAATATGGTTGCACTATTTCAAGAACAAGGTTTCCATAATACAAATAAAGTTCTTTATACTTCCTTCTCTGATTCCATGCTGGGCTTCTTTCTCATGCAGATAAACAGCTTCGCTCTCACAGAGGCTCTTCTCACACCGACCTTACACAGGAGCTTCACACAGTAGCTTTACACACAGCAGCATTCACACTGAAGCTCCACACACGAGACCTGCTAACACTGAGGAATACCTCACACTGAGACTTTTCTCCCACTGAGGCCTCTCTTACCCTTAGGTGAACTTACACTGAGGCCTTCTCTCACACAGATACCTTCTCATACTGAGACCTACTAACACTGAGGGTTTCTAAGCTACAGAAATACCTGCTTATATTGAACTGCAGCTTTTGCTGAGTCATTGCATCCATTTAACCCTTTCAGTGCTTGACTCACTTTTTTGTAATTAAAAACACCTAGTTAATTTTTAATATTTCTGACATTTTGCTCTTTCGGGAAGTGCATCAAAATACAAACATAAAACCCCTTTTCTAACAGCTGTGTGTGTTATGAATTGTTCTTGCAGAGCTAATTGTTGGTAAGGTCTTTCAATTGGCTGAATTCCTTTTTTGGTTTCAGAACCATCTGATTGTGAAAGCGCCCCCATATCATGACCAGAAGATAACTTCTCCTGTCTCTGTGGGGATCTACGTAGTGACCAACGCTGGACGATCCCATGACATACAGCCATTCACTTACACTCCGGACACATGTAAGGAAAAGGCGGTCAGGAGGGCTGTGGCCATCCTTTGCTTCAATGTTTGAGTCTTAGTAGAGGCTGGAGGAGGAGGCAGGGATGTTTAGTGGGCAGCACTTCTTGCTCTCCTTCATCTGGGGCCTCTGCAGTAGGAAACTTTGGGTCTATGAAACCAGAAGAGTAGATGGAAGGAGGAGAAGGAAGAGGCCTCTGTTTACACATCTGACTTGGGGGTTTGTGACTAATTCTTCTTTTCTTTGGAAAACGAGAAACAGAAGGGTGGGCAGGGAAGGAAAAATAGATTTTACTGTAGTTTTAAAGCAGGGGTCCTCAAACTTTTTAAACAGAGGGCCAGGCCAAAGTCCCTCAAACTGTTGGAGGGCCGGATTATAATTTGAAAAAAACATGAATGAATTCCTATGAATACTGCACATTTCTTACTTGTAGTGCAAAAAACACTTAAAAACAATACAATAATTAAAATGAACAATTTTAATAAGTATAAACTTATTCGTATTTCAATGGGAAGTGTGGGCCTGCTTTTGGCTGATGAGATAAGATTGTTGTTGTTGTTGTGTGCTTTCAAGTCGTTTCAGACTTAGGTTGACCCTAAGTGAGGGCCGGGTAAATGACCTTGGAGGGCCATATCCGGCCATCGGGCCTTAGTTTGAGGACCCTTGTTTTAAAGTATGACTGCAAAAACAAGTGAGGGAGAAGGGAGGCATACACAGAATATGATCATGAGCTCATCATTTCAATGAATCAGTGCTGGAAAGTCCTTATGAGAACACATTTATGAATAGCTAAAGCAGTAGGATCTTTGGCCATTAAGCAATGGATGGGGAAAACTTATCTTTCCAGCTCTGGAGTCCCAAGTCTTTTAGCAACTGCAAGAATAGGCAGGGGCCGGCCACACTGAGCTTTGAAAATGTCCTTTTCCACCGTTCTTTGAGTGTCAGTGATATCTTTTGCTCCATCAACAGCCAGTACTCTGAATGTGAACGTGAAACAGGAAATATCTAGCCCGACCCAGCCTTGCTCTTTTGATGATGCAATCAAAGGTACTTAATTATTTCCAGTGGTATTGCTCTTGTACTTTGGAGGTCCTCAGAGATGGAGGAGGACTCTCAATAGAGGTTGGGTGGGCATCTTTCAGGAGTGCTTTTACTGTGTCTTCCTGCATGGCAGAATGTGGTTGGACTACATGGCCCTCAGCGTCATTTCTTAAAACCAGCTAGTTGTTTCAGAAAGCATTCAGAAAGATGTCAGTGTTTGCAGTGCAAACGGCATAAATAGTAAAGGAAGTGAGACATTTAGCAGAGTTTCAGACCTTCAGTTGAAAACTATTTAGCATGGCGGCAGTTTCTAGCCTGCTAGAAACACAAAATACCACCTGAACATCACATTATACCCCTCAGTCGACAGCTGCTCTCTGGGGCTTTCTCTTCTTCAGTTAGTAGCATGAATTCTTGCCAGTCGTCTGTTGGCTGTCTTTGTCTGGCACAGTGAAGTGTGTTTGGCTTTTGTTCGTATTAACTAACCCTTTGGCTCCAGTTTCTGGTGCTTTTTATTCATGGTTTATCCCCTTTTGCATGGGCGGTGGGGGTAACCTCTAAATGCAGCCACTGTGGCTGTTTCCTGTATGTCCCTGGACCCAGATTAGGAGGCCCGGCTTTAGACTTGCTTCTTGGGGGAAGGAGAGGTGGCCTGCCTTGGCAACTGCCCCTGGCACTCTCTCGGCCCCTGCACTTTGAGCCATTTCCTGTCTTTCAGGTCAGCCCTTCATTCCGTGTTTATGTTTTTGCAGTGAATCCCGGGGGCTGCAATCGGGACAAGGTCAATCTCCTCCCAAGTGCCTTGATAACTCCACTCAGGCCCAGCAGCACCGTCAAGAGTGAAGAGGCTGCTCCCATGGAGCTTGCCCCTGAAAAAAGGTCCCCTCCTGTCTTTAAGGTAAGCAGGTTGTTTCTTGTCTTGCCCTGCAAGTGGATAAATAAGAGATTGCCCCCAAACAATCCCTAATGCCTCAGAGGAGAACAAGGGTGTTTTGACCACAAGGCTAGGCTTTTAAAAAACAGGAAACAAACAGGAAGTGGCTTCCTCTTGTAATGCCCCAGGGACCCCTAAAACTTGATGAATGTATCCTTTCATACTTTCATGCTCTTTGGATACCTTATTCCATTGTGTTTCAGTTTTTGTATTCCTGGTTTTAGCTCATATACCCTTGTGTTAATTCATGTGCAACCCACTTTGAGTATCGTATTGAAAGAAAGCAAAGGTAAAGATTTCTCTTGACATGAAATCTAGTCGTGTCCGACTCTGGGGATTGGTGCCTGCTTTTTGGGAGAAAAGCAGAATATGAATTAAATACCTTGGGGCTAGTTTTTTCACAAGGGAAAAGTGTGATGGTGGAGTGTGGCCCTTTAAGGGCTTTGCGGGCCGACTAGTGCAACACTCAGCCGCAACTATTGCTCAGCCTTGGAACTGAATGGAAATCATAGTCACTGTGCCACTCATCCTAGTTTTTCCACCTTGCTGTTCGTCGGTGGCAATATATATGAGTGACATTTTCCTGGCAGTGGTAGATGTATCGTTAAGTAGTGTTTTCTCTCTCCTGTTGGCTGGCACCATTGTGCTTTTGGCTGCAGCAAGTTAACGTTGGGGAGCTGCCAGTGCCTCCTTCCTGCCGGGGAGTGACATTGTGAGCTAAAAGGCTCTCTTTGCCCTGTATATGTCTCCCTTCAGGCGGCCAGTGCAGCCGGTCCCTCCCAAACGGCGCTAGAGGCCAGCATGTCCAGCATCCTGGGGAGCGGCTCATTCCCCTCTTCGGCACCTCATTTGGCTCCCGAGAGCGAAAAGCAGCCCCTGCCGCCCAAGGGCTATTCTTCGGAGGTGCTGCCTACCCTCCATGCGCAGGACATGGCCCCTCCGGGCAGCTTCTCCACAGATTCTGCCAGCAACCAGCTGCAGAGCAGCGACTCCCTGTTGCAGCAGGCAGCCTCCAGCTTCCCCCCAAGAGATGGCCAAGGGACTCGGGAGGTGCTCCAGTCAGACGGGACAGTGGTGACCCTGACCCAGCTGACAGAAGTCCCCCAGCAGCAGCAGCAGTCCTCGCTCCAAGATTCGGGCCAAGCGCTGCAGCAGCAGATCTCCTCTGGCCTCTTCTCCTCAGCTGGTGGAGTGAGTCAACTGCAGAACACCATCCAGCAACTGCAGGCTGGGGCCTTTCCGTCCAGTGCCACCAGCAACAACAGCAGGAACGTCGACTTGGTCCAGCAGGTCCTGGAGGCCCAGCAGCAGCTGTCGTCTGTCTTGTTTTCGGGGCCTGACAACGAGGACGTTCAAGAGCAGCTCAACGCAGAGATTTTCCAGCAGGTCAGCCAGATCCAGAATGGCGTGGGCCAGGGGATGTTTTCCCCTCCTGACGGAGTCCACTCAAGGGCCGAAGGCCTGCTTTCCAGCAGAACAGAGAGTGTCCACTCACAGGCGGAGGGCTCTTTGTCCAGCCAGCAGCAGCAGCAGCAAGCCATGGAGACCTCTGCTGTTGCTGCCGCCGCCGCCATGGTTATGGAGATCCAGCAAGGCTTGTGCCAGGCAGCCAGCCAGATGCAGGCTGACCTATTTGCCTCATCTTCATCAGGCAGCGGAAACATCCAGCCATCCCCCGTGTACCAGCAGGCTTCCCACATGATGGGCAGCCTCTCAGCAAGTGAAGACATGCAGATGCAGTGCGAGATGTTCTCTCCCTCCAACGTTTCTGGCAACGAAGGGGCAACACCAAACCAGCAGCAGCAGCAACAACAACAGCAGCAGCAGCAAGTAAATGCTAATGGCTCTGCCCTGTTCCAGCCCCCTGGCTCTGCTGAAAGTGGAGAGGCCTCAAACCAAGCCAAGCAGATGCGGAGTGATGTCTTTCAGGCTATGGTACAAATGCAGCACAGTGGGGAGGGCCAGGCTGCGCAGGTCAACCTCTTCTCTTCCTCAGAGAACATGATGCAGGGTGGTGGAGTGTCACAGCCAACCCAACAGCAGCCTCCGCAGGCACCGCAGAGCAGGGGCCTCTTCCAAGCAAGCGGGGAGATGATGTCCCTCCAGCCAAGCCCCTTCTTGCAGCAGACATCCCACTCGCAGGCCCCACTCTTCCACTCCCAGAGCCCCCTCGGGGATGGCCAGGGCATCACCCAGGAGAACACGAGCTCCCTCTTCAGCAGCCAGAACACTACCGCCTCCTCCTCTGCCTCCTCGGAGCAGATGCCAACCGCCATGTTCCACTCGCAAACCTCCATGGCGGTGGTGCAGGAACAGCAGCAGCAGCAACAACCTGCCAGCATGTTTCTTTCCCAGAACCCCATGGGTGGCTCCGTTACACAGGAGGAGCCCATGCAGTTCTTCACAAGCCAGAACTCTCTCTCTGCCAGCCCTGAGCAGCCGCCACCATCATTCCAGCAACAGCAGCAACAGCAGCAGCTGTCCCACTTGCAGGCCCCCCAGCCCCCCCAGCAAGGCATGTTCCAATCCCAGCTGCCTCTTGGAGCCCTCCCTTCCTCGGCAGTGTCCCCGAACCAACAGGAAGCCCTGTTCCAGTCCTCGCACTCAATGGTGGCACTTCAAAACAGCTCCTCCACACCAGAGCAGACGCAGCAGCCAACCCTGCACTACAGCCAGGAGCAGCCCCCACCGCCACAGGGCCAGCCCCTCTTCCACCCGCAAAGCTCCATGGCGGCCATGAACCAGGAGCCACAGCAGCCCATGCAGTTCCAGAGCCCCAGCCCCAGCGGGTCCCAAGCCGAGGCCTCCCCACAGCAGCCACCACAGCCTCCCACCATGTTCCACAACTCTCCACAGCTGCAGATGGTGCAGGGCTCCCCAGGCTCCCAGGAGCAACCGCTCACCCTCTTCATCTCCTCCTCCTCCATGTCGGCCTTACAGAACAGCATCAGCCAGCAAGAGATGCAGCAGGCTCCACTCTTTTCCGGCCTCCAGAGCGCCTCTTCGCCCCCACAAGAGCAGCGCCAGCAACACCAACAACAGCAACAGCAGCACCAACAACAGCAGCAACAGGCCGCCTTGTTCCATAATGGAGGTGGGGCCATTGGCCAGCTGCAGAACTCCTCTGCTTCATCTCAGCAGACCTCCGGGATATTCCTCTTTGGCATCCAAGACAGTAAGTGTATAAATGAGGAGCCCAGGGCTGTCATTAAGTGAACTGGCATTCTGCATGTTCGGGTGTCCTCCTCTACTTTTGTGGCCTTTCGAGTTGTTCCACAGAATTGGAACTAGGTTTGTTCAAACAGAGACCCAAGGTGTGATGGGTGAGTGGGCTTAATAACAAAAGACCCTCCCCATAAATGTACAGCAGACTAACTTATTGGCAGCAGCGTTACCCAGCCCAAAGTCATAAAAAGAACAAAAACACACAGACCGATGTTATCTCTTCCATAGGAGGTTTTTCTTTATAGCAAAATAATATGGCTGCACTAGTTACAAAAACAAGATTTCCACAACACAAATAAAGCTCAAGTTTCACATTGGAGCTTCACACACAAGGCCTTCTCATAACAAAACCTACCTCACACTCTGAGGCCTTTCTCCCACAGTGAGGCCTACTACCACTGACCTATTCTCCCACTGAGGCATTCTCTCACACAGGCTTATCTCACACTTGAGAGCTCTCTCAGACTGAGGTGTTACTAAGCACCTGACACACCTTCTTATATTGAACTACAGCTTTTGCTGAGTCATTGTATCCATTTAACCCTTTCAGTGCTTGATTTTTTAAATTACATTTTTGTAATTAAAATACTTAGTTAATTTTTAATATTTCTGACAAAGTGGACTACTATTACAACCTTGGCTCTAGAGCCTGCGTAACTGAAGGTTCTATCTTATCTATTATTATCTAGCTAGTTAGCGCTACTTGTCCATGATACGTGTTGAAGACTGAGTGGCCCAAGGCGCCTGCTGAGCAAACTTGACCAACTGTGTGTCTTTTCTCTTCCTCTACAGACTGTGGGCAGCTTCTCACCTCTGGGTCGGGTGCCATGTCAGAGCAGATGATCACAGAGGTGCAGCCTTCGGTCACGACGCTCCTGTCCCAGCAGATGTCAGAGGGCCCCCAACTGTCTTCTGCCCTGACCTCCAACCAGAATATGAAGAAGATCGACGACCTGCTGGTGTCCTTGCAAAATCAGGGGAACAATAACATGGCTGGCTCCTTCTAACTGGCCAGGTGAGAGGAAACTATTTGAGTCCAAGGCATTCCTCCCTCTCTCTCACTGGATTGGGTGATTGGGAGAGAAGTATATTCCCCCATCTGCTTTTATCCATTAGTACAGTGTTTTTCAATCTGGGGGTGGGACCTCTGGGGGATCGTGAGAGGATTGCTAAAAACCATCAGAAAGGACAGTATTTTCTGTTGCTTGTGGAGGTTCTGTGTGGGAAGTATGGCACAATTCTTTCGTTGGTGGGGTTCAGAATGCTCTTTGATTATAGGTGAACTATAAATCCCAGCAACTACAACTCCCAAATGTCAAGGTCTATTTTCCCCCAAACTCCACCAGTGTTCACATTTAGGCATATTGAATATTCATGCCAAGTTTGGTTTAGATCCATCATTGTTTGAGTCCACAGTGCTCTCTGGATGGAGGTGAACTACAACTCAAGATCAGTACCCACCAAACCCTTCCAGTATTTTCTGTTGGTCATGGGAGTTCTGTGAGCCAAGGTTGGTTCAATTCCATCATTGGGTGGAGTTCAGAATGCTCTTTAATTGTAGGTGAACTATAAATCCCAGTAACTACAACTCCCAAATGACAAAATCAACCCCACCCCAACCCCACCAGTATTCAAATTTGGGTGTATTGGTTATTTGTGCCAAATTTGGTCCAGTGAATGAAAATACATCCTGCAGATCGGATATTTACATTATAACCATATAACAATAGCAGAATTACAATTATGAAGTAGCAATGAAAATAATGTTATGGTTGGAGGTCACCACAACATGAGGAACTGTATTAAGGGGTCGCGTCATGAGGAAGGTTGAGAGACACTGCATGAATGAAAGTTTTAGAGTGAAATGAAAACCTGGCTGCACAAGTCTCATACTCCCTTTTGCTTTTCCTTCCAGAAATCCTGCTATGGACAGTCAGATTTGCAGACTCCTTAAGCTCCCGTGACTCTGGAATTTAGGCTATTTGGACTCCAACTTCCTCTTTCAAAGGATGGCCTGGACCCAAGAGAAAGCACAGCCTTCCTCCTTGCTGCAGAGGAGCGTCCCTTTGGAGCCTGGGGAGTGGCTGTTGAGCAAAAGGAGAGGGTGCCGGGGGAGCAGCGAAAGAGCAATGGTGCCTTGCATTGCTGCCCTCTCTGTCCCCTAAATCCTCTTTGCCGCGAGGGAAAAGAAGAAGACGAGTCGCAACTTTACTCCCTCTGCAACTCATCTCTGGACACTGCAAAACATCATGACATAATATCCCAGGTCCTGAAATCCGTTGGTTACAGAGATATCCGGTTCACAAATGCGTGCTGATCCCATGATTTGCAGCTGAATATTTATGTGATTTTCCATTGGAAACGGTTTCTTGAGGCAATGTGAATTAACACAAGTGTTTAGACTGTTGTTGTGAATTTCACCCGCTGTTCAGCGGAAGCTCCTGCTGATTGAATAGAATGGGGAAAGCTGTGAAATAACACTGGGAGGGGGAGGGGGGGTCGGTGAATGCCGTATGGAAATTGAAAGTTTCCTTTGGCTTTGGGGGTCTCATCTTAATGGTTGGTGGGGAAGATGGTGAATCCACAAATGTGACTTCAGCTTCTGGAAAGGGTTGGGAATTAAAATGGCATCGTTTTTCAGAGGAGAGGGGCTTCCCTATACCTTTGGAGGGAGGACTTTTCCTCAGTGCAGGAACCCGTCCTCTCTCTAGCACATTGGGCATGAATCCATCCCCCTTAGCCCCCGGTGGTATAATAGGTTAAACGCTGGTGCCGGCAGGACTGAAGACTGATAGTTTGGAGGTTCAAATCCAGGGAGGTCGCAGATGAGCTCCCTCTGTCAGCTCCAGCTCTCCATGCGGGGACATGAGAAAAGTCTCCCAAAAGGATGGTAAAACATCAAAACATCTGGGCATCCCCTAGGCAACGTCCTTGTAGACGGCCAATTCTCTCACACCAGAAATAACCTGCAGTTTCTCAAGTCGCTCCTGACACACACAAAAAGCCCCCATTCCACTTCTTTGTCTCCTCTTATAAATAATTTGAGCTGGCTTTCTAGGAGTCCAGAGAATGCTGTGGTCGGCGGGAGTCCAAGGCCTAGTAAAGGAGAAGAAGCTGGGACCCAAATACCCCACATTTGAGAGAGGGAGCCTGCAAAACTGGCAGGTCCAGAGTCCATTAAGTGGCCAGGACACACACATGCGCTTTCCTGGTCACTGACAGGGTGTAATGGGAGGCGTCTGTAAAAGCCAAGCTGGTTTCCGCTTCCCACCCTTTGGCTCCCTGGAAGCCCAGGTGAGGCCTTCCACCCTCCATGAGGCTGGTTCCACCCCCCCCCCTCGACCCCAGCCCCCTCCTTTTCAGGTGCTCTCCAGGGGGTGTTACCCCCCTTCCACCTCCCTCTTGCCTCTCCTGCCCATCCAGCACTGCTGTTGTCGGTCGCACAACAGCTTCCTGCGTAGCTCCCTTTGGCCTTGGGGATCGCGTTCGTTTTTCAGTCTGCGTCGGTGTCCGTTCCTTGTGCAGCAGTTCTCTGGGTTTCCCTCTCCTTGTGTGTGTCCTTTGAGCTCTGTAGACTCATCTTTGGGTTCTTTTGGGAGGGTGGCCTTTGGTTCTCGTCCCGTTTAATGTAAGTCTGACGTTTGCAGTCAGTAGTTTGTCCCGTCTGTCTGTCTGTCTGTCGATCGAGTAACGTTTTCAGTAGTACAGGCTCTTTTGCCGATATGAAGGGAACTTTTTTCAGAAAGAGACCTGCTCTTGGGTCGTTTAATTTTGAATACTGTTTTCAATCGTTCAAGTTTTGGATGGTTTATATCTAATCGTGTGTTTCATTTTTTTGGAAAGCTCTATTTTGTATTTTAGGAAACAATGAACTATTTTGCTACTTGTACTGAGTTGAGTACATGGGCATAAATATAAACTCTATATAAATATATATATATATATTTGCATATATATTATTCACACACATATATTCTCTCCGCCACAGGTTTTTGTGGCGAATGTGTGACTTTTACCGTCTGTTCTCCCACAAAATGGCATCTAGTGATTGAGGGCAAAGTGGGAGGGTCTTGTTTGTCGCGTCTTTGCAGCATATTTTTCAGTCCTTTTTCGCAGCTGACTGAGTGGTATCCATCTCTGGCCCTTCTGTTAGGCAGCGTCCATTTGGACCGCAGGCCGCGAGGGCAGCTTCCCTGCCAAAGAGGCATCGCAACCTGGCGAAGAAACCCTCTGGCTCCGTCTTTTACTCACTGTTTGTGTTTATTCTGTTTTATTGCTGGCTTTTTAATTTATAATGACACTACAAATCCAGAAAAGGGGCCGGCGTCTTTCCTCTGTCCCATAATGTCTGTATTGCTCCAGTATTTTTTTTAACTTGACAAGGCGACATTGAAGGCGAGAAGCAGCTGATACGCAAAGGCCGCTTATGGACAAGGAATGGGCCAAAGGAGGAGAGAGACATCAGTGGCTTCTACGTTTGTGTCAAAAAGGAAGCCTTTCCTCCCTGAATTGTCTCCCCAACTGTTTCACGGCCATTTTCCCGGGGACAGGGAGGAGCCAAGGCCCAGGGACCAATCCATCCTTGGCTGAACCAGGCCTTGCGGCCAGATCCAGCCAACCGCCCCTTCTCCCCCAGTGATCCATTTCTTGTGTCCATCGCAAATGGTCCTGCTGCTGCAAAACAGGGGAACATTCGCACTTCTTGGCTTAGTTTTTAATTCCTTACTTCTTTCCCTCCTCTTGGTCCATTTTAGGTCAATATTTAAATGTGCAAACTTTTGAATTGTGTAATTTGGTTACAAAATGGGTATGTCTTTGGAACCGAGGAGCTGCTTGGTGGCTGCGGCAAATGGATGCTGTGTCTTTTCAGTTGGCAGATTCTGCAAAAGGCATAGAAGCAAAGAGGAGGGAAGGGGGCTGCCAAGGCAGGGAGGCACAAAAGCGCTTCTGCCCCATCTCCAGGCCCTTTATGGCAGATGGGAGCCACGAGCCCTAGCCTGGCAAGCCTTCTGGCCCTTGGAGAGCTCAGCAATGGAGGAGGTTCTGGGCACCAGGGCAGCAGCAGGCAGGCACTTCTGAGGGAGCCATGAGGGTCAAGAGAGCTTCCCCCTGAGAGCTGCTTCCTGTCCTTTTCATACAAACTTCCATCCACTTCCCCTCTTGGGCCACTGGCTATGTGCCTACCTCCTGAACCAACCCTGTCTGCAGGGGAGCCTTTGGGCTGTCTATCCTAACACCCTTTGAGGCCCCTTTCATGACAAGAAAGTTTAGGTCTTCTGTGCTGTCTTTTCCAGATATTAAGTTATACCACATAGAACTAATAACATAGAAAAGGCACTGACTGAACTGAAATAGTACCAACACCCTTGGTCCCAAGGAGAAGGCTTTCAATTATTTCAAAAATGGGCCAACCCTGTTCAGAAAATAGAGGGAAAGGACCAAAAGTGCAGGGCCTTTCCAGAGGAAGGGACTCTCTCTGGCCCCACAAACCTCAGCTTACATCCCTGGGGCTTTGTGTTATGGCCTGGTCGTAATTCACTACTTTGGATTGGGTCCAGAACATCCTGGCAACAGGGCTGCCATTGGGGAATAGATATTCTGTGCCCTGGCTGCCTAGTCCCCTGTGAATCACTGGACCACAGAAGCTGGTCCATTTGCCCATTTGCCAGTGCTTTGTGGCCCACCTTTAGGGGTTTCTGTTATTTCAGGGCCCTTGAGACCAAGTGCTCCCTTTGGCAGCCCTGAGGCTTCTCCAAGGGTTCCTCCTTCTGCCTTTCCGCCACATTTGGCTGCTAGAGCATCCGGAGCAGCCTCTGGGCAGCCGCCTCGTCGTTCCACGACCCTTCAATGTGAATGTAGCCCCCGAGGGCACCGTTGTGCGTTTTGTGCGTCCCTGGTTGTGTCGATGGACTTCTCCAGAGCACTGATCCTCCATGTTCAGTCTGTTCTAAGGGGAGGGGGGGAGGGGGGAGGGGACCTCATTTGCATTTGTTTTTAGCTATTCTGTGATAACTTGTTGAATATTAAATAAAAACAGAGAGATATTTTGCTTCTATGGGGACATTTGTATACTTGGCAACTATATTTCTGTACACAGCTGCAGTCGAGAATAAAACTTTGAAAGTTTTCACTTTGCCGTGTCTGGAGCCTTGCGCCCTCTTTCTTCCTTCCTTCCTTCCTTCTGGCCAAAGAACAAAGGAAAGGTCACTCTCCCCGTTTCACAGTCTAGGGCAGGGGTCCACAGACTTTTTAAACAGAGGGCCAGGTCACAGTCCCTCAAACTGTTGGAGGGCCGGATTATAATCTGAAAAAAATGAATGAATTCCTATGCACACTGCACATATCTTATTTGTAGTGCAAAAAAACACTTAAAAACAATGCAACAATTAAAATGAAGAACAACTTTACGAAATATAAAATTATTATTTAAAAGATAAGTGTGGCCCTGCTTTTGGCTGATGAGATAGGATTGTTGCTGTTGCTATGTGCTTTCAAGTCATTTCAGACTTTAGGTTGACCCTGAGTGAGGGCTGTATCTGGCCCCCAGGCCTTAGTTTGAGGACCCCTGGTCTAGGGGGTATTTATGTTGCCATTGGACCACCAGCACCTGTACCTTCTTGCAGGGCTGTAGCCAGAAAAAAAATTCGGGAGGGGTTGAAATTTTCGAGAGGGGGTTGAAAATTTCACGGGGGGGGGGGGTTGAAACCTGCCTCCTAGCTCACGCTGAAGCAAAGAGCACAGCAGGGGCAGAGCAGCCTTCAATAGCCTGCAGCTCCGCCCTGTCAACCACCTCCACCAAGTCTGGCCTCCTTAATGAGAGCATTCAACACCCCCCCCCCCAACTTGGTTGCTTCGCTACATCGGCTATTGCTGCAAGTAATGACAGTGTGAATAAATTGCCAATATTTGCTTGAGATAGTGCTTGCAGTTCTGGAGGGACTCGTAATTTTTTGCATCTCATAGACTTAGCATGGGGATTTGGTTAACCAGTTAAAATTCATGAGTAGACCAGGTTTTTTAAAAATCTGAAACATTTCGGGGGGGGGGTTGAACCCCTAAAACCACCCCCTCGCTACAGGCCTGCTGCTTCTTGCATACTTGCCAGGTATGTTGCGCCCATTGCAAGGACAGCTGGTGAGGCAGAAGGGCCTTCCTTGCACTAGCCAACACCGTGGAGCTCACAGACCCTCTTCTTTTCCTGGGCATAATTGGCACTGCGAAGGACACTGGGTCAGGCTTGCTGGGTTACTACAGGGGCAAATGGGGCTTCCCCTGTTTCAGATCCATTTGGGAAGGCAGGCACATTGCTGCTAAATGGAAACCAGGGATTGAGCTGCCCGAACCTCTCCCCAAGTGGTTCCTTGCCAAAAAGTGGGATGCCGACAGGGCTTTTCAGCTGCTGCTCAAAGCAATGGAAAGTTGTTTAAGAGCATCCTAAAATTAGAAGCACGTGGCATTCTGCCGAGAAGAAAAAGAGGGCTGGACTATGCCCTGGAATGCAGAGGCACAGGGACGCCGAGGCCCTGATCTGCCTGCAATTCGTAGAACCCAAAGAGGGCCATCCAGTCCAACCAGCTTCTGCTAGAAAGGACACCATAAAAGCCCGACAGATGCCCACTCAGGCTCCTAGAACTGGAAGAGACACCAAGGGCCATCCAGTCCAACCCCCTTCTGTCTTTATGCAGGGAAAGCACAATCAAAGCACCCCCGGCAGATGGCTACCTAGCCTCTGTTTAAAGGCATCCAAAGAAGGGGCCTCCCCAGACTCTTGAGGCAGTGAGTTCCACTATTAAACAGTTCTTTCAATCAGGAAGTTCAAAGGTACAGGCAGAATCTCCTTTCCTGTCATGTGGACCCATGGCTCACTGAACCCCCATTTCCATGCTCACTCCCCTATATGCCCTGAGCTGTGCCATGCATGTATGTGTGTCCCTGGCCTGAAGCTCTCCTCAGTGCACTTGTCATTCCAACTCTCTGGAGCTGCTCGTTCTTGAGGCGCAGGAAGCCTCTCTCAGCTCATGATGTTTGCACCTAGAATCATAGAATCAAAGAGTTGGAAGAGACCTCATGGGCCATCCAGTCCAACCCCCTGCCAAGGAGCAGGAATATTGCATTCAAATCACCCCTGACAGATGGCCATCCAGCCTCTGTTTAAAAGCTTCCAAAGAAGGAGCCTCCACCACACTCCGGGGCAGAGTGTTCCACTGCTGAACGGCTCTCGCAGTCCTCCAGCCTCAGAACGGACAGATTAGCCAAATCCCTCCCTTTCTGGTGCACACAGCTAGCTGTTCCTGTTGTTTTGATTCTTGAAGCAAATCTGGAGACCAGCAAATGTAGCCTAAATGGAAGCCCAAGGGTACAGGCATTCTGTCTGTGGGAAGGGTTTTGTTCACTGCCACCGGATGTGTCTTTCTTGAACGTATGGCATATTGAGTTCCACGTGGGGTTCTAAGCCCAGTCACTTCCTCCAGTAGTCCTTTGGTTGCCCTGTTCCACTTCTGCTGGGCCTCTTTCTCAGTCAACAGTGGCATATGGAAGCCAGCAAGCAGCCCTCTGGTTGTCAGGTCTGGAATAAACAGGCTCTGTCCCTCCATGGCTCACCTGTGCCCCCTTGCGGCCTAGCATTGGCTTGGCAGCAGCAACAAAAACATTGGGTTGTTGTAGGTTTTTTCGGGCTATATGGCCATGGTCTAGAGGCATTTTCTCCTGACGTTTCGCCTGCATCTATGGCAAGCATCCTCAGAGGTAGTGAGGATGCTTGCCAAAAACATTGGTGGCAGGGATGGCTTTGGGCCAAAGTTTCCTTTGCCCAAAGACTTCACTGCACCAGCAGGCCACAATCTGTGATATAGGGCTAGAAAGACGCACACCACCACTCAGGAAATTAACACAAACCCAAAAGGCCTAAGTCTTGTCCCGAAAATAACGTGGACTTGGAATTCTTTTCTGAACAATTCCCCTTTTAATGAAGACCACGACCAGAGAGTTCAAAGGTCCTTTCTTTTTAATTTAAAGATTCAGTGATTACATTCTACCAGTGGAAAATATAAAAAAGGGAGATGGCACTAAGCTTTTATTCTTGAGAGACAAGGAAAGTGCCTTGGAAAGAGCTTGAGAGGTATTTATTTCCTCTCTGGAGTGTAATAAGATCCTCATCTCTGCTGGAGTTCTGCCATCGACAGAATGCCTGTCTCCAAAGAAGAGAGCACACATCACTTCTTTCTGAAGTGTCCAAAGAAAAGAGCAGGGAAGGAAATAAGTATAGAAAAGTGCTGTCTGAACCCCTGCCCCTAAATCTCCCAAGTTTTATGGTGCTAGTGCCAAACCGTTGAAATGCCCAGTGCCAGGGCCTTCTTGAGTGTGCAAAGCCCTTCGGTGCCTGATTCACAAACAGGCAACTCTGGTTCAAACTACTGTATCTCATCGCATAATAGTCACATTCTCCATTTTTTGGGTGCCAAAAAGAGTGTTTTGTGTTCCTCATATAATAGTCGCACCCCCATTTGAGGCTGATTCTTTTTCCTTAATTTTTTTCTCTGAAGGCCTTAAGCAATTTAAAAATTACACAATGGAAGTTTTCCGAAGCTCTACCTTTCTCTCCTTGCATCTTCCTCCAAGGCCTTAAAGCAGGTTTAAAACAACTGGAAGGAACGTCTCTGGAACTTAGATCTTACCTCCTTTCTCCAAATAACTCCAGGTTTTGTAAACAGCCTTAAGGCCTCAGAGAAGAACGGAGCTACAGAGACCTCAATTTTATAGCTTTTCAACTGTCTTCGGAGAAAGAAGGAATGAAGAGAAATGGAGTGGTGTGTTTGAGGTTGGATCATCCCTCCTCTTTCCCTTTCGGGGGTAAACCATTTTATTTATTTTTTCAAAAACCAACATATTTCTTCCTCGCATAATAGCCACACCCCCTTTTCTTGAAAAAATGGAGGGAAGGTGCGACTATTATGTGATGAAATACAGTATTTTGAGAATAAAGGAAGAGGCCCAATGGCGAAGGAAAGTACTGTGGCCCAAGTGACTCCTGCGATGACTATTCAGCCTTGACCTGGCTGTTGGGCGGGAAGGCCTTGCCCAGGTTCTGCCCCACGCTCAGGCCGTACTTCTTGCCCTTCTGCTGCTCCAGGACCTCCTCCCGCAGATCAAAGCCCTGGGCCATGGGCTTGAAGTCGGCTGTCGGGACGAAGGAGAGGGTCTTCTCCTCCCAGATGGAGCCCAGCCGCTTCTTCCATCCCTCCAGGATCTGGGTGCGGACCTCTGCCGGAGTGTGGCCGATGCTGTAGGCAATCTGGGGCTCCAGGATTTGGAAGCCACAGAACTGGAGGTAACCTCTCTGCAGGGAGGAGAGGGATTGCCAGAAAAGAATTAAATCAGCGTTTCTTAACCTGGAGGTCAGGACCCCTGGGGAGTTCAGGCGGGGGTTTCACAGGTGCGACTATTATGTGATGAAATACAGTATTTTGAGAATAGAGGAAGAGGCCCAATGGCGAAGGAAAGAAAACATATTTCTTTCCATCAGAAAACATATTTCTGATGGTCTTAGGAACCCTTTAGCGGAGAAGGCTGGAAACAGACAGCAAATCCCCCACCAAAAGTCCTCCTCTGCTGCCATTGGCTGGACTGTTTCTGAAAGTCAAAGCAGTAAGGGAAGAGCAGCGCATGGCTCAGCGCATGGCAGCGTGATGCGCATGTGTGTGTGAGGGAGAGCATGCGAGGCTGGAGGTAGGCTCATGCCGGTGAGTCCCTTCAAGGCATGGGGGGTCTCTGTGTGGGAAGTTTGGCCCAATTCTGTCATTGGTGGAGTTCAGAATGCTCTTTGATTGTAGGGGAACTGTGAATCCCAGTAACTCAACTACCAAATATCAATGTCTATTTCCCCCCAAACTCCACCAGTGTTCATATTTGGGCATATTGAGTATATGTGCCAAGTTTGGTCCAGATCCATCATTGTTTGCGTCCACAGTGCTCTCTGGATCTAAGTGAACTACAACTCAAAAACTCAAGATCAATGCCCGCTAAACCCTTCCCGTATTTTGTGTTGGTCATGGGAGTTCTTTGTGCCAAGTTTGGTACAATCCCATCGTTGGTGGAGTTCAGAATGGTCTTTGATTGTAGGTGAACTATAAGTTCCAGCAACTACAACTTCCAAATGACAAGGTCTATTTTCCCAAACTCCACCAGTGTTCACATTTGGGCATATTGAGTATACGTGCCAAGTTTGGTCCAGATTAATCATTGTTTGAGTCCACAGTGCTCTCTGGATGTAGGTGAACTACAGCTCCAAAACTCAAGGTCAATGCCCGCTAAACCCTTCCAGTATTTTCTGTTGGTCATGGGAGTTCTGTGAGCCAAGGTTGGTTCAATTCCATCATTGGTGGAGTTCAGAATGCTCTTTGATTGTAAGTGAACGATAAATCCCAGCAACTACAACTCCCAAATGACAAAATCAATCCCCCTCCCAACCCCACCAGCATTCAAATTTGGGCGTATCGGGTATTTGCATCAAATTTGGCCCAGTGAATGAAAATACATCCTGCATATCAGATATTTACACGATGATTCATATACAAATTAGATACAAATTTCATCCAGTAATGAGTGTAATATTGATAGACACAAGTGAGAGATAAAGGTAGAATTGGCAAGGTTAAGAATACTAAGAATTCTAAGAAAATACCGTATATACTCGAGTATAAGCTGACCTGATTATAAGCCGAGGCACCTAATTTTACCACAAAAAACTAGGAAAACGGATTGACTCGCGTATAAGCCGAGGATGGGAAATGCACCAGCTACTGGAAATTTTCAAAATAAAAATAGGTATCAATAAAATTACATTAATTGAGGCATCAGTAGGTTAAATGTTTTCGAATATTTACATAAAACTGTAATTTAAGATAAGATTGCCCAACTCTGTTTAAACCATTATTCTAACCTTCTTCAATGTAAATGTGTTTAGATATCCTTTGTAATAATAGAGTAAAATAATAAAAATGTGATACTAATAATAAAGTAAAATAATAAATGTAATAATAACAGTAATAAATAGAGTAAAATAATAACTGTAATAATAACCATAATAAAGTAAAATAATAAATGTAATAACAATAGAGTAAAATAATAAATGAAAAATAATAATAAATACAGTAAAATAATAAATGTAATAAAAATAATAATAATAACTGAGTGAAATAATAAATAACCTTGACTCAAGTATAAGCCGGGTGAGACTTTTTCAGCCTAAGAAAAGGGCTGAAAAACCAGGTTTATACTAGAGTATATACAGTAATATTTCATATGTGTTTTGAAATATGATGGATTGTGATATTATTGTACCTGTGTTTACAATAAAAGCATATTGGAAAAAGGAGGTTGAGGAGACTTGCATTAACGCATCACAGAAATTATCCTGGGCACCTTCACGCCCAGCGGACGGCGGTGGCATCATTTCAGGAGCTGCCAACACATTGAGAACATCTGCCCTAATATGCATTCCTTTCTACAATTTCACAGAAGAGCCATGGCCTTGGAATAAAGTTTGGCATTTGAGCCATTGGATGTTTGCAAAGCTGAGTGTAAGCTTCTGGGTCACACAGAGCTCTGTGGGTGCATTTTCTGGAGAAAACGCCTCGGGGAGGTCAGAATCTTGTGCCATCTTTTAGTAGCTACACTTTTAGTGTATATATATTTACCTGTATGGGCCAAAGGAGGACGTTGATGTCTCCATTGATGCCTTCAGGGGTGTACATGGAGGCCATTCCGCCGGTGGTGAGGGACAAGACGGCTTTCTTGTTCTAGAAAAGGAAGCCAAACCCACTTCAGGCTCCATGGAAGGTACCGATTTTGGTCGCTTTGAAGGCAATGCCAGAGTCCATTTTTGCCACCCTCCCCTTGGCCCCCTGAAAGGCCTACCTTGAAGGGCCCCTGGTCGTACAAGGTGTGGTAGGAGTAGGAGAAGCCTGAGGTCAGGATGCGGTCGAACCAGCCTTTCAAGATGGCCGGCACTCCAAACCACTGCATGGGGAACTGGAAATCGGAAGGAGGAGAATTAGGGCCCTTTCTTTTCTACTCTTTCGTTTTCCTTCCTACCTTCCCTCTCTCCCTCTCTTTTTCTTTTCCTTCATTCCTCTGTTCCTTCCTTGCCTTCCTACTCCACCTCCCTTCCTTTTCTTTTCTTTCCTTCCTCTTTTTGTTCCTTCCTACCCTTTCTCTTTTCCTTCGTTCTTTCTTTCCCCTCCTTCCCTCCCTCTTCTCTTTCTTCCTTGCCTTCCAGCCTCCCTCCCTTTTTCTCTTTTCTTTTCCTTCCTTCCTCTCCTTCCCTTTCTCCTCTCCCTCTTTTCGCTTTCCTTCCTTACCTTCCATTCTCCCAACCTTTCTTCTCCTTTTTCTTTTCCTTCCTTCCCTTTCTTTTTTGTTCTTTCACTCTTTTCTTTCTTCATCTGTTCCTTTCTTTCCTTCCCTTCCTTCCTTCCTTCCTTCCTTCTCCCTTTTTATTTCCTTCCTTCTTTTCCTCTGACAAAAATATTAAAAATTAACTAGGTATTTTAAATTACAAAAATGTGAGTCAAGCACTGAAAGAGTTAAATGGATGCAATAACTCAGCAAAAGCTGCAGTTCAATACAAGAAGGTGTGCCTGTAGCTTAGAAGATCTTAGTGTTAGTTTGCCTCAGTGTGAGTGAGGCATCAATCTTAGAGAACCCTTAGTGTGAGAGAAGCCTCTGTGGGAGAAAGGCCTCAGTATGTGAGAGGCCTCAGTCTGAGAGAGCCTGCAGTATGAGAAGGCCTCACTGTGAGGTAGGTGTTAGTGTTAGTAGGCCTCAGTATGAGTAGGCCTGGTGTGAGAAGCTTCAGTGAGAGAAGCCCCAGGTTGAAGGCCATTGTGTGTGAAGCTTCAGTGTAAATGATTCTGTGTGTAAAGCCYCTGGGTGAACCTCCTATCTAAGTTCGGRGTGAGAGGAAGCTCTGTGAGAACAAAGCTGTTTGTTTGCATCAGAAAGAAGCCTAGCATGASAGAGCCCACAGTATGAGAAGGCCTCACTGTGAGGTAGGCCTTAGTGTTAGTAGGCCTCAGTATGAGTAGGCCTGGTGTGAGAAGCTTCAGTGAGAGAAGCCCCAGGTTGAAGGCCATTGTGTGTGAAGCTCCAGTGTAAAGGATTCTGTGTGTAAAGACACTGGGTGAACCTCCCGTATAAGTTCAGTGTGAGAGGAAGCTCTGTGAGAACAAAGCTGTTTATCTGCATGAGAAAGAAGCCCAGCATGGAAGCAAAGAAGGAAGTATAAAGAACTTTATTTGTGTTATGGAAACCTTTCTTTTTGTAAATAGTGCAACCATATTATTTTGCTATAAGGAAAATCCTCCTATGGAAGAGATAACATTGATCTCTGTGCTTTTGTTCTTTTGATCACTTTGGGCTACTGGTGTTGGGTCACGCTGCTGCTAATAAGTTACCCTGCTATACTTTTAGGAGGAGGGCCTTTTGTTAATAAGCCCACTCGCCCAACATCCTCTTTTCATTCCTTCCCTCACACCCTTTTTCTCCTCTTTTCCTTCCTCTTTCCTCTCCTTCCCTTAGTTTTCCTTTCCTTCCTTGCCTTTCATCCTCCCTCCCTTTCTCTTTTCTTTCCTTCCTTCCCTCCTTCCCTCTCCTTCCTTATCACTCTATAATTTTCCTTTTTCCCTCTCTTTCCTCTCCTTCCCTTCCTCCTCACTCCCTCTCTTTCTTCGCTTTCCTTCCCTTCCTTGCCTTCCATTCCCCTCTCTTTTTTCTCTTTTTCATTTCCTTCCTTCCCTCTCCTTCCTTCCTTCCTTCCTTCCTTCCTTCCTTCCTTCCTTCCTTCCTTCCTTCCTTCCTTCTCCTTTCTCTCTTCCACGTCATTCCTTTCCTCCTCTTTCCCTTCCTTCTCCAATCTTATCACACCCTGGGAATCCCTGCTTTGGGTGACTATCCACCTGGAAGATGACCAGGTCGGCAGCCTTCAGCTTCTCTTGCTCCTCCTGGATGTCCTTGCTCAGGCGGCCTTCCTTCCAGGCTTTGGCAGTCTCCGCGCCATAGTTGAAAGGCTCTTCTGGGTTCTTTGAGGCACCTGGCCAACAGGTGAGAGAGAAGGAAGGGTCAAAAGGGTCGTGGAGGACGGGGAGACCAGAAATCCGACCAGTCAGCTCCTGCCTACCTGTGACATCCCCCCTTGAAAGGACCGGGTTGAACTTCATGGCGTAGAGGTCGGAGACGGTCACGCTCCAGCCGCACTTCCGCAGGGCCTCCACGCCCGCCTCCTTCATGGCGAAGTTGAAGGAGGTCTTCTCAGCATGGGCCAAGACAATCAGTGCTTTCTTCCCTGAAAAGAAGAAAGGAGAAAGGACGGAGCATCTGTCAGGCGGGCTTGGATGGTGCTTTTCTGCTTGGGAGAAATAGAGTTAGATGGCCTTTAAGCCGGTAGGCTGTTAGGAATTGTGGGAGTTGAAGTCCAGAACACCTGGAGGGCCAAAGTTCGCTCATGCCTGCCTTTAAGGATTCCTTCAAACTCTAGGTTTCTATCACAAACTAAACATGAATCAGTGGTGTGATGCAGCAGCTAAAAAACCAATGCAATTGTGTTGCCTTCTTGTCTGGCAGAAGGGAGTTGCGTTGCAACATGCAAGAAATCAGTTAGTGTATGCGTGTCAACTGTAAAATAAGATGCAAGGTGGCTGAGCCTGGGACTTTTGGACACTGTTACATTTTTTCAGGCTTGAGCTATGCAAGTGCTTGCAGAGATGGAGAGAGTGAAGTGGACAGAGAGACAGTTTGGAGTGTGCTTGATGAGCTGCTGGACATGATCCACATGGACAAAGAAAGACCATTTTAAATCTCTGAGGAATCTTGGGGCTCTTCTTGTCATGGAGGTTGGCGACTCTGGCGACGCCCTGGTTGATCGCTATAACAGTGAGATGGCCAGGGTGATAGACACGATCGCTCCCGAACGTCCCCTCTCGCTGCGCAGAGTCTCGCCATCTCCTTGGTTCACTGAGAAGTTGGCTGAGATGAAGTGCACGAGAAGGGGTCTAGAGTGAATCTGAAGGAAATCTTGGGGTGTCTCTGACCGAGCATGGGCTAAAGCCTCAATTAGAGCCTATACCGCAGCCATACGGACAGCCAAGGAGACCTTCTTGACTGCCCGCATAGCGTCTGCATCCAATAGATCTTCAGAGCTGTTTCGGGTCATTGGGGAGCTCCTTCATCCTCCGGAGGTGGAGGAGGCCATTGACGACCCGATAGCTCGGTATTACAATTTTGCGCACCGTTTTGGGGATAAAGTCGCTCGGATACGCCTCGAGCTAGACACCAGCTGAAATACAGTGCCAGAGGAAGTGACCGAGGCACCTGCCTGTCCGGTTTTGTGGGATTCTTTCTGGCTTGTTCATCCTGATGATGTGGAGGGGGTCCTTGGGGCTGTGAGGGTGACCACGTCAGCTCTGGACCCTTGCCCTTCTTGGCTAATTAAATTGGCTAAAGGTGGGTTGATTGGTTTGTGTTGATCATTAATGCATCATCAGAGCAGGGGATATTTCCATCTGGTTTGAAACAGGCTGTGATTAGACCACTCCTGAAAAAGGCCTCCCTTGACTCCACGGTCTTGAGCAATTACAGGCCAATCTCCAACCTCCCTTTCTTGGGCAAGGTGCTGGAGCGGGTGGTCGCCTCTCAGCTCCAAGGATTCCTAGATGACATCGACTACCTGGACCTGTCACAGTCTGGCTTTAGGCCTGGTCATGGTACCGAGATGGCTTTGGTCGCCTTGGTGGATGACCACCGCAGGGAGCTGGACAGGGGGAGTGTGACCCTGCTGGTTCTCTTGGATATCTCAGCAGCTTTCAATACCATCAACCATGATATCTTTCTGGGATAGCTCTCTGGGATGTGTCTTGGGGGCACGGCTTTGTTGTGGCTCCGGTCCTTCCTGGAGGGTCGTTCCCAGATGGTGAAGCTGGGGGACACCTGCTCGGACCCCTGGCCTTTGACCTATGGGGTCCCGCAAGGTTCCATTCTGTCCCTCATGCTCTTTAACTGTGTATCTGTCCGAACGTATCTCCCTCTACGTCCCACCCCGGAATTTGAGATCATCCGAGGAGGCCCTGTTCTCGACTCCACCGCTATCACAAGTGAGGCTGGTGGGGACGAGGAGCAGGGCCTTCTCGGTGGTGGCCCCTCACTTGTGGAACTCACTCCCGGGGGAAATTAGGGCATCAACATCCTTCCTCACCTTCAGGAGGAAGGTAAAGTCGTGGTTGTGGGACCAGGCCTTTGGGCAACCTGACAATTAGATATGGAAACCAGATGAATAGGACTAAAAGGACTGACAATTGTGGAATTGGAATTTAAATTATGGAACTGTGAAACGCTGACCGTCAAGGAGGTTTGTATGGATTTTTATTGCTTTTATTGGTTTTATGGTTGTTTTTACCTATAATAATTATTGTCTTTATGGTAATTGCTGTTATTGATAGAATTGTTGTTGTTAAATGATGTTATTGTCTTTTGCTGTATGTGATGCGGGCATCGAATTGTGCCTCGCTTTTGTAAGCCGCCCTGAGTCCCGTCCCCCCCCCCCCCCCCCCCCGGAGTGAGAAGGGCGAGGTAGAAGCAACCGAAATAAATAAATAAATAAATTAACTACATGAAACCACTGGGAGAGGTCATCCGGAGTTTTGGAGTTGGATGCCATCTCTACGCCCAACTCTACTACTCTTGATGCCCAACTCTACTACTCTTTTCCAACTAATTACAAGGAAGCCCCTCGGGTATTGGACGAGTGCCTGGCCGCTGTGTCTGTCTGGATGAGGATGAATAATCTGAGGATCAATCCTGACAAGACAGAGGTCCTCCTGGTCGATCGTAAGCCAGATCGGGGTATAGGGTGGCAACCTGTGCTGGATGGGGTTGCACTCCCTCTGAAGTCACAGGTCTGCAGCTTGGGTGTCCTCCTGGACTCATCACTAACACTTGAAGCACAGGCATCAGCGGTGGCTGGGAGGGGCTTTGCACAATGAAGACTTGTGCACAGTTGCAACCGTACCTTGTGAAGTCGGATCTGGCCAGGGTGGTCCATGCCTTAGTCACCTCCAGATTGGATTTCTGTAATGCACTCTACGTGGGGCTGCCCTTGAAGATGGCTCGGAAATTTCAATTGGTACAAAGGGTGGCAGGCAGGTTACTAACTGGAACGACTTACAGGGAGTGGTCAACCCCCGTTTAAGGAGCTCCATTGGCTGCAGTTCATTTTCCAGTCCCAATTCAAGGTGCAGGCTCTCACCTACAAAGCCCTGAACAGTTTGGGACCTGCCTACCTGCGTGACCGCATATTTGTGTACAAACCCACGCAATCTCTTCGATCATCTGGAGAGGCCCTGCTCTCACTCCCGCCCCCTTTGCAGGCGCGATTGGTGGGGACGAGGGAGAGGGCCTTCTCTATGGTGGCCCCCCGATTCTGGAACTCACTCTCCAAGGATATCAGGCAAGCCCCCACATTGGCAGTCTTTAGGAGGAGACACCCTTGGGGTGTCTCTTCCAACTCTAGGACATTATGGCATGGGGTAGAATGGGTTGTCCCTACTTTGCTGCCAGGATGCAGTGGGAGCCTCTGTGGGTTCCTCCCCTGGTTTAAGGCGCAGGGCAAGAAACAAAAAAGGGCGTTTGGCTTTTCTGCAAAGGAGATTATTGCATCTCGGGTGCTGATTATCAAAAGCAAAGGCACTCCCTGAGACTGCAAGCACAGGCCAAGACAGGTGCAAACACAAAGCTTTGGGCCTGGCTTCAGCCCTGGAGCAACGGGTTATTAATACCAAAAGTCATTCAGAGTGACAGACCTGCAGGGCCTCCCTTTGCAGCTGATTGGTCCTCAATCTGCGGCTTCATCCACAGCATGAAGCCCGGTCTCTGAGCATACACAGAGACCCCTCCCGCATTATTATTATTATTATTATTATTATTATTATTATTATTATTATTTATTACTTATCTCTCCTCATGGCTGGAGGGGCATACAACATGGTTACAATGCACAGATAAAGGACCATAATAATATGCATATGTTTTAAAAAAGCAAGGAGCAAACACCATAATAATATGCCTTGAACACAATAATAATAATAATAATAATAATAATAATGATAATAATATATGCCTTGGACACCATAATAATAATAATATGCCTTGGACACCATAATAATAATAATAATAATAATAATAATAATAATAATAATAATATGCCTTGGACACAATAATAATAATAATAATAATAATAATAATAATAATATAATATACCTTGAACACCATAATAATAATAATAATAATAATAATAATAATATGCCTTGGACACCATAATAATAATAATAATAATAATAATAATAATAATAATAATATATAATATACCTTGAACACCATAATAATAATAATAATAATAATAATAATAATAATATGCCTTGGACACCATAATAATAATATGCTTGAACACCATAATAATATTATACCTTTAACACAATGATAATAATAATATAATAATAATAATAATATGCAATATGCCTTGAACACCATAATAATAATAATAATAATAATAATAATAATAATAATATATTATTGAAAGGCTTTCATGGTCGGAATCACTGGGTTGTTGTAGGTTTTTCGGGCTATATGGCCATGTTCTAGAGGCATTCTCTCCTGACGTTTCGCCTGCATCTATGGCAAGCATCCTCAGAGGTTGTGAGGTCACCTCACTACCTCTGAGGATGCTTGCCATAGATGCAGGCGAAACGTCAGGAGAGAATGCCTCTAGAACATGGCCATATAGCCCGAAATAACCTACAACAACCCAATAATAATAATAGTAATAATAATAATGCCTTCCCCTTTAAATTCACTTCCATTCTCCCACATCCTTAGCCTTGCAGCCACTTCCAATGCCAAGAGAGCAACTCAACTGCCTGGGACTCTCCTTTTCCTGGAGTTATTTTCAGCAGGGGCTGGATGGCCATCTGCAGGGAGGGCTTGGGTGGTGCCTCCCTCTAGCCATCAAGCCTAGTGAGTAGCCAGCCCCCCTCGTTCCTCCCTTTCTCGACTCCCCTTGCAACCCATGCCTAACCCTTCCTTACTTACCAGCCATGGCGATCCGCTTTGCAAACCCGGAGGCGCGGCCAGAGGACCTTAAGCTCAGAGGAAGGGGCGGGGCCAGGGAAAGTGCTGAGTCATGGTCTCCAGCCCCGCCCCCTTGAACTTAGGCACAGATCAAACACTCCTTTGTGTTGTCGATTGCTTTGGCCATGTTCCAGAAGCATTCTCTCCTGACGTTTCGCCCACATCTATGACAGGCATCCTCAGAGGTTGTGAGGTCTGTTGGAAACTAGGAAAATGGGGTTGACAAAGAACTCTTGCCTGTTGGAGGCAGGTGTGAATGTTGCAATTGGCCACCTTGATTAGCATTTGATGACCTTGCAGTTTCAAGGTCTGGCTGCTTCCTGTTCCTCAAACAGACGAGAGTTCTTTCTCCTACCCTGGACATTATTCCACAGATATATCAACCCTAGGTAAAGGTAAAGGTAAAGGTATTCCCCTGACATTAAGTCCAGTCATGTCTGACTCTGGGGTGTGGTGCTCATCTCCATTTCTAAGCCGAAGAGCCAGCGTTGTCCGTAGACACCTCCAAGGTCATGTGGCCGGCATGACTGCATGGAGCACCGTTACCTTCCCGCCGGAGCGGTATCTATTGATCTACTCACATTTGCATGTTTTCGAACTGCTAGGTTGGCAGAAGCTAGAGCTGACAGCGGAAGCTCACGCCGCTCCCCGGAATCGAACCTGCGACCTTTCAATCAACAAGCTCAGCAGCTCAGCGCTTTAACCCACTGCGCCAATATCAACCTTACTTTCCTAATTTCCAACAGACTTCACAACCTCTGAGGATGCCTGCCATAGATGCGAGCAAAATGTCAGGAGGGAATGCTTCTGCAAACTCACAACAACACAGAGAAAACACTCTTTTGTCTCAGAAACGACCCTGCTGAACCTGGCTTTGAAACTGCTTCAATCGTTTGTTTACCCCATTTCATAAGAGTTGAGGAAGAGGCCCTAAAAGGGCCTCACGCCATTCATTGGTTTAATAGGGATACCTAACCAAAACCCTCAGGACAGATGGCCATCTAGATAAGATTTTGCTTCGCGTGGTTGGCATTCATTCCATTTTGGTTGCATTGGCTTGATCCGTATGCCCTCCCTGGAAGGTATAGATACAGGCGGAATAGAAATATTACAACAAAGGGAAGGATTCAATGACCAGAGCCTGGTCGCTCCAGTTAGGGCATGTAAAAATCATGTAAAATCATGCCCTAACACACATGGTGTGTGTGTTAACTGGAAATGCAAAGCACTAAGCGGATTGATTAGGCCAAGCCTAATCAGCCAGCTGAGCTTGGGAGTTTTGGCAACAGTTACATTTTTAAGGTTGAGGTGTGCAGGCGCTTGCAGGCAGAGAGACCGTTCGTCCTTCATGAGCTGCTGGAAAGAGATTTTCCACATAGACACCTAAAGACCATTTTTAAACTCTCTCAAAAGGACATTATGTGAGTCAATGCAACAATTCACATTATTGTATATATGTTGCTCTGCGTTGCAAAGAATAAAGTACTTGTTCTTTACTGATCATCTGCATGGCATACTTTTCTTTCCCTGACAAGACAGTGTGTCAACTGGTAAAATGTGAGCTACGCGTGATTTCCATTATGCCACAGCTCACCCCCTGCATGACACAAATTGGACTTGTTTATTACTATTTTACAATAACGATGAGCGCATTCATCAGCTGGGGATTCATCCCAGAGGGTGGGAAGTCTGTAGTGTAGACCCATCTATCTATCTATCTATCTATCTATCTATCTATCTATCTATCTATCTGTATTTATTTGTTTGTTTGTTTGTTTGTTTGTTTGCAGCATTTATATGCCGCCCTTCTCACCCCGAAGGGAACTCAGAGAGGCTTACAAGATATATTTACATACAATATATTATATTATTAGCATAGTACAATATCAGTATTATATATTACTATATTGCACTATACCATTATATTGTAATATTATTAGTAATATTACATGTAATGTGAATATATAATTATAGTTATAATATTGTATTATTATGTATGTATGTGTGTGTGTGTGTGTGTGTGTGTGTGTGTGTGTGTGGATTTAAGAGAAGCAGTGCAACCCATGCATCTTCTGGATATCTAATATGATAATAATAATAATCTATTTTATTACATATATATATATGTAGAGCAACTGCTTTGGCAGACGGTGGTTGGGTGTCCGGACAACATGGCCGGTCCAGTGGAGTTGATGGCGGAGGACCATCGCTTCAGTGCTGGTGGTCTTTGCTTCTTCCAGCATGCTGATGTTTGTCCGCTTGTCTTCCCAAGAGATTTGCAGGATTTTTCAGAGGCAATGCTGATGGGCCCAGTATAGAATCAAAGAGTTGGAAGAGGCCTCATGGGCCATCCAGTCCAACCCCCTGCCAAGAAGCAGGAATATTGCATTCAAATCACCCCTGACAGATGGCCATCCAGCCTCTGTTTAAAAGCTTCCAAAGAAGGAGCCTCCACCACACTCCGGGGCAGAGAGTTCCACTGCTGAACAGCTCTCACAGTCAGGAAGTTCTTCCTCATGTTCAGATGGAATCTCCTTTCTTGTAGTTTGAAGCCATTGTTCCACGTCCTAGTCTCCAGGGCAGCAGAAAACAAGCTTGCTCCCTCCTCCCTATGACTTCCTCTCATGTATTTATACATGGCTATCATGTCTCCTCTCAGCCTTCTCTTCTTCAGGCTAAACATGCCCAGCTCCTTAAGCCGCTCCTCATAGGGCTTGTTCTCCAGACCCTTGATCATTTTAGTCGCCCTCCTCTGGGCACATTCCAGCTTGTCAATATCTCTCTTGAATTGTGGTGCCCAGAATTGGACACAATATTCCAGGTGTGGTCTAACCAAAGCAGAATAGAGGGGTAGCATGACTTCCCTAGATCTAGACACTATGCTCCTATTGATGCAGGCCAAAATCCCATTTTTTTTTGCCACCACATCACATTGTTGGCTCATGTTTAACTTGTTGTCCACAAGGACTCCAAGATCTTTTTCACACGTACTACTCTCGAGCCAGGCATCATCCCCCATTCTGTATCTTTGCATTTCGTTTTTCCTGCCAAAGTGGAGCATCTTGCATTTTTCACTGTTGAACTTTATTTGGTTAGTTTTGGCTCATCATCTCTCTAATCTGTGGAGATGTTTTGAATCCTGCTCCTGTCCTCTGGAGTATTGGCTCTCCCTCCCAATTTGGTGTCGTCTGCAAACTTGATGATCATGCCTTCTAGCCCTTCATCTAAGTCATTAATAAAGATGTTGAACAGGACCGGGCCCAGGACGGTCCGCTTGTCTTCCCAAGAGATCTGAAGGATTTTTTGGAGGCAATGCTGATGGGCCCAGTATAGATCAGTATAAACCAGTATATTTGTCTCTACAGACAAGTAGAGAGCATATTGAGGCTGAAGAAATATGTCAATGGCATTTCAAGCAAGTGAACTGCCTTTCGAAACGTTGAAAGCCAGCAATTATGCTACATGGTCATTTGAAATGAAAAATTTTCCGTTAAGAGGCAATTTGTGGTCAGTAATGGAGAATTCCCTAAATAAATAAGAAGCTGACAAATTGATGGCGGATATCACGTGCAAAAGCTTCTATCGCATTAGCATTAGAGGACAGCCAACTGCCATAAATAAGGAATGACCATAACAGCTGGACCATAAGGAAGGCTGAGCGAAGGAAGAGAGGAGCTTTTGAACGGTGGTGTTGGAGGAAAATCCTGAGAGTGCCTTGGATCACAAGAAGATCAAACCAATCCATATTCCAGAAAATAAAGCCCGACTGCTCATTGGAGGGATGGATATAGACTGCTCGGAAGCTTCAAATAGTCCAACGAGAGGCAGCCAGTGGCATACAGGGAGCACACAACTCCCATGTTATGCCAGCTCCACTGGCTGCCAGTTTGCTACCAGGCACAATTCAAAGTGTTGGCTTTGGCCTAAAAAGCCCTAAACAGCCCCGGCCCAAATTACCTGTCCAAACGCATCTCCCCCTATGTACCATCACGGTGATTAAGATCCTCTGGGGAAGCCCTGCTTTCCGTCCCGCCATTGTCACAGGCATGATGGATGGGGATGAGAGGCAGGGCCTTCTCGGTGATTGCTCCCCAGCTATGGAACTCCCTTCCTGGTGAGATCAAGTCAGCCCCCTCTCTCCAGTCCTTTAGAAGGATGGTAAAAACTTGGCTGTGGGACCAAGCTTTCGGGACAGGGCAATAAAGCGGCAATCGGAAAGATGACCAGGCCATTTAGATTTTACACGGATGGTGGATTTTAATATTTTGATAAATGTTTTTTAATGTTTATGTATGTGTATGTGAATTTGTGTCCTGGCATTGAATGTTTGCCATGTATATGCTGTGCTCCGCCCTGAGTCCCCTTTGGGGTGAGGAGGGCGGAATATAAATGTTTTAAATAAACAAATAAATAAATAAATATTAGAAGCAAAGATGAAGTACTTTTGCCACATAATGAGAAGACAGAAAAAGTGGAGAAGTTAATGATGCTGGGGAAAAAGGAAGAGGGGCCAACCAAGGGCAAGGTGAATGGATGGTATCCTTGAAGTGACTCTCTTGACCTTGAAGGAACTGGGGGTGGTGATGGCCGACAGGGAGCTCTGGTGTGGGCTGGTCCAGGAGGTCACGAAGAGTCGGAAGCAACTGAACAAATAAACAAGTAACTAGGTTGCACTCAATCTCCAGCTACGAGACCTGCAAATTTGTATTATTAGCTCTTATATATTTCTTTATAGAAGGCTCCTGACCCCCCCCCCTTTCAAGAAACCAACATTTTTGGGCTTGTTTTCAAAGAAGGACCCCACAGGACTTCCGCAAAAGGCTGAAGTCAGCTTCTAACTCGAAATTCATAGTGTTTTCCTTAGGCCAGGGCAGCTTCACGAATTCCTTTCTACAGAGCCCAGGTTCCACTCTCTAGCCCAAGTCCTAACCAGGGCTGAACCTGCTTAGCTCCCACAATCCAACTGGGAATGGACCAGTTGGAAATAACTTGAAGGCAGACAACCTGTAACAATAAAAAAACCCTTGAGATGTTTTGAGGGGCAGAGGTATTTTGGAGGGGAAATGTACTGTGAACAAAAGCACATTTTCTGCAGGGGAAAACGAGGGGTGTTTGTGTTTCCTTTGCTCATGAAAAGGACTTGCAAAATGGGAAGAAAATTCTGGCTGCAGCTCTCTGTGGAAAAACCCAAGCAGCAGCCCTTTTCCCAGGAAGATGGAGACATGGGCCCTTTTGATGCCCTTTTGGGGTTTCTACCTTGGAAAGGGAACTGGGGGAGAGTCATTTCCGCTTGCATTTTGCTGGCCTCTTTGCTCAGCAAATACAGCTATTAAAATGTTGTCATTGTAGCTGCCAGCTCTATTTGCCCTTGTGCCGCCCTTGTGCAGTGGTTGCGTGTCAAGGTGTGGGAAGGAAGGCCTAAGGACAGGCCCAAGAGCTTTTTACTTTCACAGGTTAACAGGAGGAAAGGTAACGCAGGAGGAGGAGAAAGGGAGACAATCTGCCTTCCAGGAGTGTATCAGAACCCAGAACATGAAGCAGAAAGGCCCTACATCACAATGTTCTGCAAATGAAGATCTTCCACTGGTGGAAGCGCATTCCTTGGAGGTTTTTAAACAGAGACTGGATGGCCATCTGTTGGGGGTGCTTTGATCGTGCTTTTCTTGCATGGAAGAAGGGGGTTGGATTGGATGTCCCCTGGGGTTGCTCTTCTTTTTCTTCTTACTATTATTACTATTATTACAAAGGCTGGATGGCCATCTGTTGGGAGTGCTTTGATTGTGCTTTTCCTGCATGGAAGAAGGGGGTTGGATTGGTCCATGTGGCCTCTTCCGACTCTATGATTCTATTATTGTAGCAGGTTTACCCAGTCCATTTGAAATGTACATTTATTAGTATTGCCATTTTAATCTCTGTCCTTTAAAAAAATATATATATATACATATAAGTATTTTCATGTCCCTTTGCGTTTGCTGTGTGTAGTAACTGGGTTGTTGTAGGTTTTTTCGGGCTATATAGCCATGTTCTAGAGGCATTCTCTCCTGACGTTTCACCTGCATCTATGGCAAGCATCCTCAGAGGTTGTGAGGTCTCACTACCTCTGAGGATGCTTGCCATAGATGCAGGCGAAACGTCAGGAGAGAATGCCTCTAGAACATGGCCATATAGCCCAAAAAAACCCTACAACAACCCAGTGATTCTGGCCATGAAAGCCTTCGACAATACATTGTAGTAACTAGGTTGTAGCCAACCTCAAGCTGCGAGGAGACCTGTGTAACAAATAAAATTACTTGTATTATTAGTTATTATAGGTTTATTTACAAAAGGTTTTCCCTAACCTCTTCAAGAGACTCCACGCAGTGAACAGTGGTAAAGACAATACAATACACATTTCTAAATCAAAAGACTATAAATGTTAAAATACAATTAATCCTAGCACTATTTAAAACAGTGATTCCCAACCTTTTTTTGACTAGGGAGAACTTTGACCAACATTAGTACCAAAAGGGCTATGAATTGGTTTTTGGTCAACTTTAGATTCAGTTTGGTTATCTGGTGCTGGTTCAGAAAATTGCATTGGATAGACCACATCAGCTCTAGTTTCTGATACAGAACATATGCCATCCAGTAGTCGCCATCTGCTCACCCACAGAAAACCATATTTAATAAGCCTTGGCACTATAAGAGGGTTTTGCGAGACCACTTTGCTCTCATTGCAACGGTGTGCTAACATTGAGGCCGGGGACCATCTTTCAGTTCTTGTGGACCACTGATAGTCCCTGGACCACAGGTTGGGAACCACTGATTAAAAAAATGAATAATTAACAGCATCAAAAGTGCCTTCAAATGCATAAAACACCACACAACATCCTGTGACTACGTCTTTTAAAAACTGTTCCTTCTGTAAAAGCCTATCTGAATAAAAAATGTAACTGCCCTGCGACGATTATGACATTTTGGGGGCCTACAAGCAACAGAGCTGCTTATCTTCCCCATTAAGAGTTTCACCAAGAAAACGAGAGAGTGCAGGGGGAAAAGGCTAGTTTATTTGAAAGCTCTCCATGGCTATTTGTCCAAGAAGCCGATGTCCTAACTGGTTGTGCTTTCTGCCTTCCCTAAAGCCTCTCTGGTGCTCCCGCTCCTCTTGTGTCTGTGGTGTAAGACGAGTAGGGCAAGGACTGTCCTATTTGCCAACTAGGGCCCAACTCTTTGCAGGAAGAGGAAGGCCTTCTTCTTTCTCTTCCTTCTCCTCCTCTTCCAGGGTCACGAACCCAGTCCAGATGGCGCCCCCCGGCTTCACCTCTTCTTGCCGCATCTCTTGCCGGCCGCTGCGTTGGGGTTCATGCGCCTGCGCCCGGCTCCTTGTGCTGCGTCCCGTATCTGGAGACTGGCGGCCCGGCTGTGGACATCGTTCTCCACGAACGGTGAGAGGCCTGCCAGGTAGTCTGGAGCCAAGGCGTCTGTCTTCTGCCTGGCCTTGCGGGAAGGGCGTTGCTGTGGGAAGCGCTGGTCCCAGACCAAGTGAGGGTTGCTGCCGTGCTTCCCCCCTTGAGGTGCAGGGAGCGGGTGCTGCGGAGTGGGACAGGAGAGAGA